AGAAAAAAAAATACTTGAAATATTAACGTAAATATTTTAACGACTACGACTCACTCTTGAAAAAATACAAACAAAAATAATAGACAAATGGAAATAGACACTCGTTATTCAGTATTATAAAAGAAAACAAAATCTATTCTTTGGATGGTTGCAGCCGCTTGATTCGTATACTTAAGGTCTCTCGTTAGGGTTGCGTTGTTAAGTATCATGAGCCCAAGACTTTCAAATTACTTAGAGAGATATGATAAAGCTATACAGATAGATAAACAGATAGATAGATACACCCTTTAGAAAAATCACCCTACAAACTTGACTCATCATGGTAATAGAATATAAAAAAAAATACCGAAATTTGGATTGGATAAAAAACAAATGCATTTTTATTCTTTTACGACACAGGGAGAGAATTTCCTAACCAGCTCAATTCCCAGTTTACGCCAAGGAAGCTCAAGGGAACACTGAACGATGTGCAATTCCACTCACAGCTGCCGAGTCACTGAAGGTTAAAAACAAAAGCGACGAAACCTAAACAGCACTCCAGCAAGCGAGGATGATAGCGACGCATTCCATCAGCTACCAATACTAATGGCGACCGGATGTTGATGTCTGACGTCATTACAGGTAGGTCTCCCTAGCGCCATAAGTGAAGCTTTTTTTTTAATGCATGCAGCTGAGAGAACAGTCGTCAGCTTGGAATACCCCGTAACTCTAGCATTGTTGATAAGATAGAGCAGTAAGTGACCCCAAACACGTGACAAATAAATAAAAATTAATTGAAATCTCGACAAACACAAATGCTGCTTCCTCCTCTACTCCTTGATTGAATTGCCTTATTATCTACCTATCTAGTATGTGTGTGTATGTACAAGATAATCATAACTCTCTCTCACTAATACACAACAACCAAACTAGAATTAACCTTATCTGTATATTAAAAATAAATAACAAGGTGAACGATAAAATATGTGTATTGGACTAATTCTTTTATTTGTGTGTTATTATTATCAAGAGTCAAGTGTATAGCTAGTGTTGAGAGTAAGCTTTGACCCTGCGACATTTTTAAAAGTTGGACCAATCTTGACATGATGTTGAAGTTTTTATTTTAGTTGAATAATTTTATTGACAAAGTTTGGAGTACAGTTTGCCTATTATGAGTAATTCAGTCAGGTCTTGACACTGAGGGTGGTATCATTGTTCACTGCCACGGAGGACAGAGGTTCATACACAGTAGAAGTCATATTCTATTTGAGGACTAACAAATAAAAAGATAGACTGCAAGAATGTCCTCAAGCACTCCTGATTCAGTGTAGTAATTACATGGTTCATGATACAATAAGCCTCAAGTCACATTCAATAATATAATGTTCAAGTGTTATGCTTTAAAGGTTTATCCAAAGTTTACATGCTGAGTGTTCGGGTATGGGTACAGCGTTACTAACTTGTTTCTGTATCCAGGCCTAACTCTGGCTCGTTTGGTAGTAACTTTGTGTCATTTCGTATGTTGCCAGAGGAAGTCCGTCTCAACTCTCTCTCTCTCATGACCCTCAAGGCAGTAATCACCTTGTACCCTCTATCACCTGTTGCCCGCCAGGTGAACATTGAACTCGTCTGGTCGCCCCTCAGCTATCATGCCGAGGTGCAACTTTGATCCCGTCAGCCGATACATCGATAAAATCCCAATAAACGATAAACGACCGTCTAAAATCCGACAAAACACTGACCTAACCTAACCCAACCTAACCTAACCTAACACTAACCTAACCCCTACCAGGTAACGTCATGTCGACTCCTCTGGTGATTCATATCTATTGTAAATATTTATATTATTAGTGTGATGTGTTAATGTTATCACAACGGTTTATTATTTAGGTGAGGTTAGGTTAGGTTAGCGTTAGGACGGTTATTCTTCAGGTGAAATAAACAAGGGGGGGGGAGCAAATCTTCAGGTGAACCAGGAATGTATGCCACTACCTCCGTTAATTGCTCCAACTCGCTCACCTTTACCTCGCCCCCCTGACTCACCTGGTGTCTTATCACATGAAGATATAATACTATATAAGGAAGAGTATAATCTGATCATTAGTAATTATAGACCTTACTTGTCGTGTGTGTGGGGGGAGGGGTCACGTGAGGTCACAGATCAATTGACCCGGACAAAGTTATCTACAAGTGACCCCAGGTTCATTAGCCCTCCCTTCACCACCTCTCACCCCATCTGTTATCAGGTCAGCGGGCCAAAGAGTAACCATCTCATCACCATCTGGACAATACCACCTTACAGCATTAATAATTAACAAAATAAAAACAGCAAAAACTACAATAATAACACTGCACTATAATAATAATAATAATAATAATAATAATAATAATAATAATAATAATAATAATAATAATAATAATAATAATAATAACAACAGTGTAACGAGAGTCGAAGATTTAAAACGTCGATCCATTCAAGAGTGAAGGTTTAACTCTAACCGCCGAGGGAGATTTAAAACAAGACTAATTTAAATGGCAGGGAGGAAGGGAGACTGTGTGTGGGAGGGAGAGAGGAAGGAGTGTGTAGGAGGGAGGGAGATTGTGTAGAAGAATTTAGAGATAGAGTGAGCGAGTGAAGGGGGTCTGAGGGAGGGAGGGTGTAAGAATGTTAGCGTATTAAAAATGTGACGGTTACTGCGTGGGCGTCCATGGGTGCGACCTTGCGATGTGTGTGTGTGTGTGTGTATATAATTATGACTGCTTCTATAAACAGTTTTCTTGGGCTGTTTTTGGTTTACTTGACTTATTGTTTATCATTGTTTGTATACCTACATTGCGAACTATCTATCTATCTATCTATCTATCTATCAATCTATCTATCTATCAATCTATATATCTAGGCTATGCTCCTACGTCATGGTGCAGTAGTTTAGGTTTTTTCCAGAATTAGATGCGCATGCGTAAGAAACCCTTATATTTAACACACTCAACTATAGCCAATAGCTTGAAGATTCTGACTAAATTATATATTCACGGATCTATATCCCCAAGATTCAAATAATATGGTAATGATGGTGATTTAAACACTTGTTGAGGGCCAGGTATGGGTTCCTCTCTCAGCAGGTGTGTACGTGTTACATCAGCTTGTTCGTAATAAAAATCTAGTAGTCATAGTAATCATGGGAAATAGTGACCCATATAACGAAGCATTAATGTACGTTATTACCGATACACGTTAAGGTTGTGACTCCAAGCCAACGCCTGCCAGTGACGTCACACAAACACTGACAATTGAGCGGCCGCGCCCAAACTTGTCACCGGCTCACCACCTGACTGATGTTGAAAAATATACTACGAACTGAACCTCTAAACCTTTTTTTTATCAGATTACTATACATGAAGGTAATATAAGTTAACCTAAGGTAGAGTAAAGATCCGAAGGTAATTTTAGTAAGGTTGAGATACGTTGGATTAATTCATGTCACCTATAAAATAAACCAAATATGGTTTCGCGTTCAAATCCGTGGTATTTTTTAACATCAGCCAGTCTGCCACCTTTTCAGACATGTCTCGAGTTCAATATTATATTTATATATCAAGATCCAACATTTCACATCTCACCTTTTATCCTGAAACAAAAATAGTTATTATCATACGAGAGTGTGGCCCATGAACTAACCACAGTGTGAGTTCTTAAAGCAGAAATGTGTTTTGTTACCTCGAGAACAATACGAATCCTGTGTAAATATATTCATATTAATTCGGTGCTTTGTTTCTTTTATTTTCTCATTCACGTTACTGAAGTAGAGATCATTAACCTGTACGAGTGTTTCAGAAGCTCTGTAAATGATAACAAACCACACCTGACCTACGTTGGATTTTGGCAGAAACAAACCCCCATCGTTCGCTCCTGCTTAAGTCAGACCTAATTCAACGATGGTTTTGTTTTAATACACAAGATGAAACAAACTTATTTACCTTTATCAACAACGGCTGTCTAGAACGAATACGTGAAAAAAATGAAAAAAAACGCCGAATTTTGAGATGCATCAACCGCATTCGTATATTCCCGAGGTAGCAAAACATTAAAACAAGGAAAAGATAATAAAATCGACTAGTTTAGGAGTGAGTCTTATACTATTACGCTGAAACCACCTTAAAGTGAAAGATATCAAATCAATACCAGTTCTGAAGGCTCCACGCGTCTTTGTTTACCCAGGACGATCAACAACCTGCCAGATAAGACAAACCGGAAATTACAAACTACAACTGCAAATGTCAAGTGATCCTACCTGATGTACATACTGACAGATGCAGTGTAGGTCAGTTTGTCTTTGTGGCTAATTAAATCGGAAAAAAAAATCGGTTTTCTGATATTTTGTTGCAGCTGAAATTCGACGTAATAAATTTAAACCCTTTACCTCTTACACTGAGAAGCTATCAGAAAGTGATTTTGGTCTGACAACCTAGAACACATGATTAGATTGTTTTATTATACAAGTAATTATAATATCCCCAAAAACAGGTGTACCTAAAAATTAATATCCCTGTATATAACGCCAAGCGCCTCAACCACAGGATTTTGCAAGACTGAAAATTATTAAAATGAAACTCTATTTATCGTCATATTATCTAATCCTTATATTTCCTCTTATTACACCACAATAAGAATAAAGACAGACTAAGCAAGATAAATTCCAAATGTTACTGACTGATAACGTCGTTGTCCATCTTGGGAGAAAAAATCAATATCCTGCGCACGCATCGCGCCATCGCCAGTTCAGATGAGTTGCCAAGTAGGCGCTGTTACTTAACCACTCCCAACGAGATAAACTAGTCACTAATATTATTTCAAATTTATTCCATTAAGTTAATTACTTTATACTGAGTTAAATAAAAATAATATGAATGTCTAGGGTAATTTTTTTCTCGTTTAAAAAAGGGGTAGAAAATGAAATAGTGGCAATAGTGTGTTGGGAGAGAGGGCGCGGGACTAATACAAACTCACTCAGCGCAGTCAGGCCCTTTAAGCTTCAGTCTGTAACTGTGTGTCAGCAGGGGATGAGAGGGAAGGTGCCAGGTCTCTCACACACTCCCCTGCTAACTAACAATAACTGAACTCTTTAAGCAGACTCCTAACAACATTGCTAATAATATAGACTAACTATGGCATCCCCAAGAATTAGATTTCCCTATGTCAAAAGATACAAATTATTTATCTTCTGGTCAACAATAATACTGGCGTTCACAGGTGTGTTTTTATTTATTTGTGTTTCTGGTTAAAGGGATGAACTCTAACTGCATGTGATTATTTATTTAATAGTAAGAAAGTACTTTAATACACCAACGGAAATACTCACTAACCCCCCCGGTGCGTGCGTGAAGTGTCCACGAAAGTATATGTGTGAATGAATATATATATACGAGTGAATAATGAGATCCTTACAGGTTTAAATAATGATACGTATAAAACGAAAAAAAATATGCGACACTGATAAGTAGTTAACACTTACCAGAGATATCCAAGAGTATAGAGTAATGCTAGACGTGGTGGCTATCTCCGCCCCGCCAGTTGAAGAAAATTATATCCAAGCATTAAGTGATTTTCTGTTTAAAGGATATAGAGATTATTTTATATCCTACGGTATGGACACGGGAATGGTTAATATTTCCATGTGTTGTGTAAGTGACTTATATACACACTTCCTTTGTAATTATTTTATATGTTTAGTTATATTTTGTCGCATTTGATTGTCAAGGAATTTTAATAGTGAATATAATGTAAATCGTTCAGCAATTTCCTTCATACTTCAGTACTGATGGGTCTTGGGTGATGAAAAATAAATAAAATATAACTGAAGGTGTCTCATTTTAGCATAGACATTATTCCGCCAGTTCAGTCATCGATTATTCTAGCTGTTAATGCATGAAGACAGTGATGCATGGGGAAAACCAGTTCATTTATATTCATGCTCAATAGTAGTGTATTTCGACTAGAATTTACCAACAATTACTGATATTTAAAAGCCGACACACTTAAGCACATGATAAGCGTTCCCTCATGGTTGAAAATACATTAATCTTCAAACTCTTGTACATAATCAATCTTTCATGCCCGAACCAAATGTCTATTCATATAGGTTGAATTACAGCTGAATAAATTACCCACAAAATGCAAAAATTATACAATGTAGATAGATAGACAGAAACACATTACGTAAAATCGTCATGCAAATTTACATTGAATTAGCGTGTATACTGTATACCTGTAGACAGTGCAGGTATACAATCAATGCACATAGACAATACAAACAGGCTCATCACCAGACAGACACAACTTGAGGGAGGAAGGATAGTGGTGAAATTAACCCTTCTGGTGTTGGAGAAGTTACTTATAAAGTATCCTGCTGGTGGTGTTATAATCTTTCCTGGTCGTGCTTAGTAATCAACATAGCCACGTAACGGCCATGATAGATAAATTCCTCTTATATTTATTCAATGTTTCCCCCTTGATAATAATGTTACAAATATGTACGACATGTTTTCATCTGTTTTATTATTATTATTATTATTTGTGTTATTGTTATTATTATTATTATTGTTGTTATTTGGAAGTGAATTACTATGGTAACTTCCTGGACCGATTGCCATGTTGGATTAAATTGCTATATTAAGGACAGTGTGACACGTTGACACATCTTAGTAATGTTGTTGCCATGATGATTACAATATGTATTAAAAGTTCATATTTTAAGTACAGTGTTGTCTGGGGGTCACACAGCCGTAAGATGTATGTGTGTGTGTGTGTGTGTGTGTGTGTGTGGCAGAGAGAGAGAATAACATCATCCTGAAACACACAAGGAAGAGTCTCCAGGGGTTAGAGCCCTCCATTTTAGGCTCTCGGCTTTGTGATGAGGCTATACCTGGCCATGTAGCTACCTGGTGCACGTGTTTAGACAGGTGTAGAGAGAGAGAGAGCGAATAGAGAAAGAAAATGAGAGAAAACTTTAATTATAGAGAAAGAGGGAGAGAAAAAAGAGTGAGACAAAAAGAAGAGGGAGAAAAGGAGAAAACTGGGGAGAGAGAAAGAGAGATAATATACTACGATAAGATTACAGTAGTTACCTTACCATTGTACAGTATAATAAGCTCAAGACGTTACACAATTTACCCCCTCTAGTGACTAAGCGAAAACTCTCTCTCTCACTGGGGGCGTTCTTCACCACCTCGGAATACCACACATACACGAATCTTACGCCAGACGATCGTTCGCCCGCTTTATGCTTGGAGTTACCGAGTTGTTGTAGTAGTAGGGAAGACCTTGAATGTGTTCTTCAAGGAGAGAGAGAGAGAGAGATATTACATTATTTGCGTGTGTGTGTGTGTGTTTTTTTTTTTAACCTAATCTAAACTAACAAGAAGGGTCTCCATACAGAAGACACTCTCGACTTGTGAAAGAGACCTAGGGGTACTTGTAAGCCCGGACCTACGGCCTAGAAACCAGTGCGTTAATGTTCGAAATAAGGCAAACAGAATATTAGGTTTTATATCTAGAAGTGTAAGTAACAAGAGTGCAGAGGTCTTATTGCAACTATATCTTGCGCTAGTCAGGCCGCACCTCGATTATGCGGTTCAGTTCTGGTGCCCTTATTATAGAATGGATATCAATTCACTAGAGTCGGTGCAGCGAATGACGAAAATGATTCCGGGACTTAGAAACCTTCCATAGGTTAAAGAAACTAAACTTGCATTCCCGAGAAAGACGAAGAGTGCGGGGAGATATGATAGAAGTATTTAAGTGGGTGAAAGGAATCAATAAAGGGGATATAGATAAAGTTCTTATAATATCCGAGCAGGATAGGACTTGGAGCAACGGATTTAAGTTGGATAAGTTTAGGTTTAGGAGGGAGATAGGAAGGAACTGGTTCACAAATAGGGTGGTGGACGAGTGGAACAAGCTTAGCAACTTTGTAGTAAGTGCTGGAACTCTGGAAAGTTTCAAAAGGAAGCTAGATAGATTCATGGATGATAGAGAGTGGTAGTAACTCGACAGGAGCTGCCATGCACAGGCCAACCGGCCTATTGCAGACTCCTTATTTTCTTATGTTCTTATGAAGGACGGAGTGGGCCAGACTTTTTGCGACGCCACAAAATCGCACGGACGTGGCTCATGTACGGGAGCCTTAAAGGTGAGGCGCCACACAGTGCTACAGGTTCCTCCCTCTCCGCCACCACCACCACCACCTCTCCTTGGTCTCCTACGACGTACCCGCATCTCCTCATGTCCCCCAACCATTCCTAACTCAATGATCTTACAGTGTCTCCGTGCACCTAGTATACATGTCCCTTGGTAGTTCGTTCACAGGGTCATTAAACACCGTTCACAGGGTCATTAAGCACCGTTCACAGAGTCATTAAACACCGTTCACAGAGTCATTAAGCACCTTTCTTTTTATCTATTTACCTTAAGTAAAATACAACTTTCAATTAATAAGTTTCCGATAACTAATTGTATCCCTCTGTTGTTGATGATGTTGTTGTTGTTGTTTTAGACGGGAGTGATTCAATTGTGTGGATTAAGAAAATAAAAGAAAACATGTAAAACCCTTATATCGGGTGTGTGTGACCCCGTGACATGACCCCCGTTTAATAAAGTACGTCTTATCACACCCCCCCTTTGTGTCACCTGCTTCCCCCCTCCTTGTGCCACCTTCTCCCCCCTTTGTGTCACCTGCTTCCCCCCTCCTTGTGCCACCTCAACTGTCCGTGACTCACCCATTACCTAAGTAACCACTACCACCACCAGGCTATTGATCGACGGTCACCTGTTGTAATAATCACCTCACCCTCACACCTGACCACCACGGGCGCCAGGTGCTTGGGTTTATTATCCTCCCAGGTATGTGTGTGTGTGTTGTTTTGTGTGTACGTGTGTTGTGTTATGCCATTTTGTGTATGTGTGTACGTACAGTATATGTGCGTGTTATTCATACAGGTGTATTATTGATAGACAGTGTATAACTAGTATTCATTGGCTTATTTCACCAGGTGTCACTGACGTACAGTAATTGACACCGTGGCAAATTGGTAAATAAATGTCATTCACACTTCACCTAAAAAATAATCCCATAAAAACATTAAAAATAACTAATATTGAGATAATTCAAATGATAATAAGCGAAAAATTATCCTGTCACGTGATCAATTGAAGGAATTAAACACTTTCAAATAATTTCGTTTTTATTTTTATACACTAAATTTATATATCCTGTTATACCACGATTTAAATTGAGTGAAAGTAACATTTTTTTTTTAACCAATGAGGTGACGAGAGTATAGGTTAGGTTAAATTAGTTTGTTTGTGTATCCGATTCTGCCCCGTTCTTATCCAGTCTTCTCTTCAAGTACTCCGGAAGTGTAGACAGAAGGAATCGAGTTTGTCTTCTTCTTTAGACAGTTTAAAGCCAGCCTGTCTTGACCTTCCTAGTGGATGTTTATTACACGTGAGGGATACTCTATCTATCTGTACTCCTCCAGGCGGGTGAATTAAAGGGACACACACACGTACACACAGACAGACACACACACACACCCACGTACACACAGACAGACACACACACACACCCACGTACACACAGACAGACACACACACACACACAGTCTCTTTCTGACGGTCTAGTAATTAAGGTCACTCTTGATTATCTGTTTACGTTTTGATTGACTGAGAGAGAGAGAGAGAGAGCGAGAGTCAGTGGATAGGGATTCTCTCTATCTCTCTTTCACAGACCGTATATATTTGCCTCCCTTCCTCCTCCTCCCTACATCCACTTCCCTCCCTTTCTCTCTTTCCTCCCTTTTTTCTCCCTTTGTTTCTCTCTCTCTCCCTCTGTCTCCTTCCCACGCCTTATCCTCCCTCACTCTTCCTCTCTCTCCTGTAATTCTTCTTTATTCTCAACCCCTTCCTCCTCCCTCTCCACCACCACTCACCCTCCCTCCCTCACCCTTCCCTCTCCTCTCCCTCCCTCCCTCCCTCTCCCCTCCCCTCTCCACCACCACTCTCTTTCTCGTCTTCCTGGTACACCCCCCACCCCCCCCCTCCCCTTCCCTGATAAAGTGTATTGATTTTTAGTAAAGGTCGCTGTGTCTGTGGCATATCATAGGTTATACTAGCGGTGGGTATATCATGAGTTATACTGGCGGTGGGTATATCATAGTGGGTATATCGCGGTTATACTAGCAGTGGGTATATCATGGGTTATACTAGCAGTGGGTATATCATGGGGTTATACTAGCGGTGGGTATATCGCCAGGTTATACTAGCGGTGGGGTTATACTATGGGTATATCACTAGCAGTGGGTATATCTAGTTATACTAGCGGGTATATCATGGGTTATACTAGCGGTGGGTATATCATGGGGTTATACTAGCGGTGGGTATATAATGGGTTATACTAGCAGTGGGTATATCATGGGGTTATACTAGCGGTGGGTATATCATGGGGTTATACTAGCGGCGGGTATATCATGGGGTTATACTAGCGGTGGGTATATCATGGGTAATACTAGCAGTGGGTATATCATGGGGTTATACTAGCGGTGGGTATATCATGGGTTATACTAGCTTACGAATAAACAAAAGCTTAAAGATAAACACAAGCTTGAAGATAAACACAAGCTTAAAGATAAACAAAAGCTTAAAGATAAACAAAAGCTTAAGGGTATCGAGTGCCACAGTACAAACAACACAAGCATAATACTTGAAGCTTAAGACTCACAGCTTATTTTACCTTACGATTAACCACCTTAATTCAAACCTAACCTAATCCAACTTATAATAGGACCTAAGATTACCTAACCCTCTCAACCAGGTAGCCTTAGGATGGTTAATCATTAGCTGGAAGGGGGGGGGGTAATCCTCAGGTAATGCTTTAGTCAATGAGTCATTAGTGTTGAGAGAGAGAGGGGGGAGAGATAGAGAGAGGGAGAGATAGAGAGAGAGGAAGTGTACTTGATATAATTTCGATAGAATTTTCCGCATTCTCTTGAAATTGAGTGTGTGTGTGTGTGTGTGTGAACCAATCAGTACTATCTAGAACGCGACAAACTGCTGTCATTGGTCCCCCACAACACCCCCCCCCCCACGACGAGGAAGCACCAACCAATCAACAGCCACGTTACTTACCGCATTGGTGACAAATAACCAATCAGAGACGACTTAACTTCCTACCTGTGAGTGTGTATTGACTTAATGTCGACCATACTCTAACTGTACCCATAAAACGAAAACAAACACACACAACCTTACATACTAACCGTGTGTTTGTGTCAGCCTCACCATTCACTCTTCTCTTGTTTGTTTTATTTTTTTTGTTCAACAGAATCCCACGAGGCAAAGACAATAAAATATTTGAATTGAAACCTATACTGAATTTGGTGTTTATATATATACTCTATGTGCTGTAAATCCCGAGGTTATCACTCCTGTGTTATCTGTGTCGGAAGTTATCACCTCTGTGTTATTTATGTCGGATACAGGTGACAGCAGGGCCTTCAAGGTTTCTTGGCGTCCCGGGCAACCTTAACTCTGGCGCCTTTAAGAATCCCTGGTTCGATCTCTGTGCAGTGAGAGTTCACCCGGGAGTTAAGGATATTAAAGTAGTGGAGTGCAGTGCCTACCTAACCTAACCTAACGTGACCTTAACCTAACCTAAATAAGAAGTGAACAGTGAGAATGGATTGTCATTTACTTATAATTTATTCACTACTTAACAGGCATTAGTAAGTTAGTAAATAAGTTAGTAAGTAAGTAAGTGAACAAACAATATGAGTGTAATGTTGTTGTCATTTTTCCTTTCTGAAGAACTATGTGGTACAGCGGAGAGAAGGAGGCGTAACTGTCGCAATACACACACACACACACACACAGGATGTTGTTGGTTCTCCTACTTGTACAGAAAACCCCCTGAATGACGAAATTTCTGAAGACCTGACCTGAAGATATTCCCTGCATTGGAACGTAACGAGTCGAGCTGACTATAATGTGACGGTGGTTCATTGGTTCGATGGGGTGAGAGAGGGGAGTTGGGATAGGGGAAGGGGATGGGGAGAGGTGAGAGAGGGGATGGGGAGAGGTGAGAGAGGGGAGTTGGGATGGGGAGAGGGGAAGGGAGTGGGGAGAGGTGAGAGAGGGGAGTTGGGATGGGGAGACAACACACAGGTTCTCAAGATTGCGTGAAATGCCTCTTGCTAAAGGCTTAACCTGAGTCTTGTCTGTACTACACTTTTCTCTGTATTTACAATTTTACCTGACTAAACGGATCACCTGAAGATTAACCCCCAGCTTAACTCACGCTAATTAATTACCCTCACGCTAACCTAACCCCTCCCCTCTCCCTCAGGTAGCGTTAGGGTGTTTAATCTTCAGGTGCTTTTAGCTATGGGACAAATATTACTAATCGTTCGTCGTTCCTGGATCCGAATTCAAAACCGGATCATCAAAGCAGAACGAGTCTTGTGTTTATGTTCTCGGATTCGAGTGACTTCATCCTGGCTTCCTGTTCGTGACTCTCCTGCCGTCCGTCTGTCTGTCTGTCTGTCCGTCCGGTGCCGATTACGTGTTACATGCGGGGGGAAGTCTGGTGTTACGTCGACGAATAACCTTACCTCCGTCTTGCCCTGTCACCACCACAACCACTATCACCACCACGAACACCATCACTGCCGACATCACCAAAAAACATCACGAATTGACTATCACTACCGCCTCCACTACTATCATCACCACGAACACCATCAACACCACCATCATCACTACTACCACAACTACCACTATCAATACCACCACTACAACCACCACTACTACCACCACTACCAAGATACGCACATGACTCAGCAAGAATAGGTAGGATGTGTTAATGCTACAGAAATGTGTGTCAAATCGGTGTTACCAAGGCAGTCATGTGCACCGTTTACGTATACTGTATTGGCAAAGCAGTCATGTGTGCACGTATTGACTGACTCAAGCAGGAAATTGACCCCTGACAAAATAACGTGACTGGCTATCAGAGTGAGTGTGTGTGTGTGTGTGTGTATGTATGCTTCTGCGCTTCACCTTACACAGGATGTAAGGGGGTGCCAAATAAACTAGCCCCTCGGGGACAATCTAAAAAACAAAATCTGTGTGTGTGTGTGTAAGTCATGCACACACACACACACACACACACACACACACACACACACACACACACCTGAGGTAAACAGAACATGATACGAATACATGTATTAATAATAACAATAATAATGACCATAAGCAGATCTAACCAAACCAAACTAACTGTAACCTAACCTAACCTAACCTAACCTAACCTACATTTATCATCAGCTACTAGTGGGAAGAGTCACCAAGTATTAGGCGGCTTCATTAAAGAGGATATCGTGTTCAAACCTCCAGCCTCTTCCTCTCCTCTCCTCTAGGCCACAACATGGAAGTGGTGACTCTGTGTGTGTGTGTGTCAGCTGCTGGCCATGAATGACTCACAACCGTCAAAGTCACCAGTCTGTCTATCTGTCATTGTAGGGTGAGTGTGTGAGACAGTAGTTCCCTTCAAGGTTATTATTTTATATGTCACTGTCTGTCTGTGTCCTTCAGTCTCTGTATGTATGTATGTATGTGAACTTAAGCTTTCAGAGTCTATACACCTCTCTCTCTCTCTCTCTCTCTCTCTCTCTCTCTCTCTCATCAGCACCCCTCCCCCAGCATCAGGTAAACTGTATTGGCACTTTAATTATTCACTAGGGCAGTGTTGTACAGTAGGTGGTCTTTGACGTGATGGACCGGGGAACGTGCCACAGGGGATAGATTTACCTGTATGTATACCTGTACTAGTACCTGTATGTATACCTGTACTCGTACCTGTATGTATACCTGAACTTGTATCAGTATCTACACCTGTACAAGTCAGTAGACAGACAAAACAGATAGACAGATACACGATTAGGTAAACAGTAGACGTACTGATAAATAGAGAGATAAGGAGATACGTGGATAAATAGGCAATTAGGTGAATGGAAAGATAACGTAAATGGATAGATAAGGGGGATAAGCATTCGAAGAGAGAGAGAGAGAGGTGTAGAAAGAGATATAAATAGACAGACAGAGAGAGAGAGAGAGAGAGGCGGTCTGGCCTTTGTTCAGGGGAAGCACATGACGTAGAGATGTGGGGCAGTGACTATGACTCCCTCTCCCTACTTTCCTCCCCTCTCTCCTTCCCTCCCCTCTCTCCTTCCACTCTCGTGGTCCCTTCCTTATCTCCCCTCTCTCTCTCTACCCTTCCAGCGATGGGGCCGGATACAGTTGCTCTCTCTCTCTCTCTCTCTCTCTCTCTCTTTTCTCACCTCCCTTCCCTCTCTCTCATCCTTTCCATTCCTCTCTTCCTTTTTCTCCCTCCCCTCTTGCTCCTCTCACCCTCCCCCAACCCTCTCACCCATTCACCCCCACCTCCCTCTCTCACACCTCCCCCTCACCCCCCCAATCCTTCACAATTCCAACTTCAGTTTCCACTCTTTCATAAGAAAATAAGGAGTCTGCAACAGGCCGGTTGGCCTGTGCATGGCAGCTCCTGTCGAGAGTTACTACCACTCTATCATCCATGAATCTATCTAGCCTCCTTTTGAAACTTTCCAGAGTTCCCGCACTTACTACAAAGTTGCTAAGCTTGTTCCACTCGTCCACCACCCTATTTGTGAACCAGTTCCTTCCTATCTCCCTCCTAAACCAAAACTTATCCAACTTAAATCCGTTGCTCCGAGTCCTATCCTGCTCGGATATTATAAGAACTTTATCTATATCCCCTTTATTGATTCCTTTCACCCACTTAAATACTTCTATCATATCTCCCCGCACTCTTCGTCTTTCTAGGGAATGCAAGTTTAGTTTCTTTAACCTATCCTGATATGGAAGGTTTCTAAGTCCCGGAATCATTTTCGTCATTCTTCGCTGCACCGACTCTAGTGAATTGATATCCATTCTATAATAAGGGCACCAGAACTGAACCGCATAATCGAGGTGCGGCCTGACTAGCGCAAGATATAGTTGCAATAAGACCTCTGCACTCTTATTACTTACACTTCTAGATATAAACCCAATACTCTGTTTGCCTTATTTCGAACATTAACGCACTGTTTTCTAGGCCGTAGGTCCGGGCTTACAAGTACCCCTAGGTCTCTTTCACAAGTCGACTTCTCTAGGTTGATGTTAAGGCTGTATACATTGACAGTATTTGTTCTTCCAATATTAAGTACGCTGCACCTGCTGGTGTTGAATTTCATTTGCCATTTTCAGACCACCCCTGCAGTTTATTTAGATCCTCCTATAATGCATTTGCATCCTGCCCTGAATTAATCTGCTGCCCTATTTTGGTGTCATCCGCAAACTTGCTTATGTCACTGCTGATCCCAGTAATCTAGATCGTTTATGTAGATTATGAACAAGAGTGGGCCTAATACTGACCCCTGGGGAACCCCACTGGTTACACGACCCCACTCAGATTTAACACCATCTACGCTGACCCTCTGCGTTCTATCGGTGAGCCATGATTTTATCCAATTTAAAACTTTCCCCTCGATACCATGAGCCTTAATATTTCTCAGAAGCCTCTGTTGCGGTACTCTGTCAACTGCTTTGCTAAAGTCTAAGTAAATAACATCGTAATTTTCATCTTTGTGTCATGTCTTAATTGAGTTAGTCGGATACGTTCACACACCTCCAGTTAGGAAGGAAATACACACACACACACACAGTACCAAATACCTACATATATAAATCTATCCGTCCATCCAAATCAGCACATACATACATACATACACAAACCCAAATTCCAACCCACATACACATTTCCTATTATTGGTATTCAGGAAATATTGAGCACATAATGAAACCTCTATTTAACGGACTGTATGAAGAGGAAAGTCCGTTATATATGAAACCTCCATCTAACGGATTATACGGTAAGAAAAGTCCGTTATAAGAACATAAGAAAGTGGGATACTGCAGGAGGCCGACTGGCCCATACAGGGCAGATCCCTTTCACACCCATCCCAGCACTTCCATGTGCCTATCCAACTTCGTCTTGAAGCTCCCTAGCGTCCCCGATCCTACTATAGCACTCGGTAGCCTATTCCACATATCCACAACTCTATTACCAAACCAGTGCTTGCCTATATCCTTTCTGAATCGGAATTTATCTAATTTAAAGCCATTTGTTTAGTTATTTCGTTATTACTGAGCTTCAGAACATCTTCCATTTTACCCTTGTTAATCCCACTTACCCACTTGTACACCTCTATCATATCTCCCCTAACTCTACGCCTCTCTAATGAATGTAAGCCTAAGCTTTTCAGTCTTTCTTCATATGGAAGGTTTCTAATATTATGGATCATTTTTGTCATTCTTCTTTGTACTCTCTCCAAAGAATCTATGTCCATTCTATAATAAGGACACCAGAACTGAACCGCATAATCCATGTGTGGCCTCACTAATGCTAGGTAAAGTTTCAAGATAACGTCAGCAGTTCTGTTACTCACAGACCTAGATATGAACCCAAGAATCCTGTTTGCCTTGTTGCGAACGCTAATACATTGTTTTCTAGGTTTCAAATCGTTGCTAACAAATACACCTAGATCTTTTTCACAAACTGAGTTTTCTATTTCCGTGTTACCTAGTTTATACTTAACGTTTGTATTCGTCTTCCCTATCTGTAGTACCTTGCATTTATCAGTATTAAAATTCATTTGCCAGTCTACTGACCACTCATGTAAGGTATCTAGATCTCTTTGAAGGTGTTCAAAGTCACTGTCTGAATTTATCATTCTCCCCATTTTGGTATCATCTGCAAATTTACTAATCCTACTAGTTATGCCTAAATCAAGATCATTAATGAATATAACAAACAGCAGAGGGCCTAATACAGATCCCTGGGGAACTCCGCTTTTGACCGCAACCCCAGTCTGACTTTAATCCATTTATGCTGACTCTTTGTTTCATACCAGTTAACCATGACCTAATCCATTTTAATACTGATTCACAGACAAATATTATTGGCATTTGTTTACACTCATGACGTTTTGGCGGGAAAGTATACTGTTAGTCTTGTAAATAATAATAATAACAATAATAATACTGCAAATTACTATTACTACTACTACAAACTACTATTATTTACTACTACCACTACTGCTATTAAAATAAAGCTTAAAGCAGGTAAACAAAAGCTTAAAACACGTAAACATAATCAACACTATAAACAAGATTTATAATCACCCAAACAAGGAATAAAAATCCACCGATGTCCTCCAGATATGTACACTATTACATATCATCATTACCCCCCCCCCCCACACACACACCTGGGAGTCTAGAGCAGGCCAACACACCTGCTGAAGGGTATAATGACAGCACCAACCTTACAATGAGTCACCTAGCGTGTGTAAAAGTAAAAAGTATACTTACACAAAAAAACTATTAATAAATGCACTTACAAACTTTACTAACCCACAGACAGATTTACATGTACTGATAACCTACTAGCAATTAATAGAACCATCACTAACACACCCATTCTTATTGTCAACTAACCTATTTAGACAAGTATGCAAGTAGACACATCTGGCATATTAGTGAATGACGCGTGTTGCCTGTATAATAACATCAGATAGCACAATAATACTCGGCAAAAATCGGAATAATGATAAAATACAAGTTCTTCTGATTTACACGATCCCAAAGTAGATTAAATTAGATATTACTACAAGTGTTCAGGGAATTTGGTGTGCATAAGCGTTCACCGTCGAATTAGTTACATATGGTTATATACAGTACTGTTTTGTAGAGCGGGGTGTCGATTTTGCAGAATGTAGGTGTATCAGTAAATTACGGTCAGATGAATTACAGTAAAGCCTGAAGTAAATATAGAAATTACAGCAAATTACTAGCATCTGAAATGGGTGTAAAGGAATTTTTTAAGCGAGCTGTACCGCCGCTCACCATAAAACTGACGCGTCTCTGCTCATAATTTATAAAAACTGTTTACTGTGAGAAAATCTAACTTAATGAACGGTAGTAATGTGAAGTTGGATCAGCTGTAGTGAATCCTTGCTTGAAAAGAAAAATAATATTAAAACACTGGCCTACACCTGACAATAAACGACCTTTACATAGTGTTTTCCGGGACGCGTACATTACACTAGGCTTCAGACATACAACCTACTGCGTATATGATTGACTTGTATATTTAAGATCGATTATATAGTTAATTAAGTGTATATCTGTTAGTATACCTTTTATGTATAAAAGGTTAAAGATTGATGTGTATTTATATGATCCGACTAGGCTACGCGTATCTGTTGTGGAACTTGTGTATACTTGCAATAGAAAGAAAGCTAAAGAGTTATGTGTATATCTTGACCAAGTATATATATATATATATACAAACTGTTTTGGCTACACTCGTGTCTACCATGTTTGTTGACAATTGAAAAGGAGTTTTGAAGATTAATAAACACCTTTCTTATACTTGTTAGTCAGTCAGTGGTAAAATATTTGCGTCACAGGTAACACGAAAATAGGTCCATAACTGATGAGCCGTAATCCAATTAGGGCCTGGCGTCTCCCCCCCCCCCCTTACTGACGTCATCACCCTCGCTTACCTGTCGTGTGAGGTCAACCGTGTTAAGTCACCTGACATTATCTCCCAGAATACACAGCAAGGTTTGTTGCCTGTGACGTCATTTACACCTGCTGATACTCCCCTCCCAGAATGCACAGCAGGGGTTGTTGTCTGTGACGTCATCAATCCACCAGTTGAAGCTCCCCTCCCAGAATGCACCGATGAGTTTGTCCGTGACGTCATTTACACCAGCTGATACTCCCCTCCCAGAATGCACCGATGAGTTTGTCTGTGACGTCATTTACACTAGCTGATACTCCCCTCCCAGAATGCACAGCAGGAGTTGTTGTCTGTGACGTCATCAATCCACCAGCTGATACTCCCCTCCCAGAATGCACCGATGCCTTTGTCTGTGACGTCATTTATACCAGCTGATACTCCCCTCCCAGAATGCCATTAAGACTGAGGGTTTGTTGACAATATGGCGTCATAAGCTCAACAGATGACACTCCAAAGGCGGTGTGAAATTGTGTCTTAAGGTTCGACAAGGAAGTGCTGGCTAACACGAACCAACAACACTTCCCACCAGACCACGGCGCTCTTAAAACCACACACACACACACACACACAACTTCCTCAACAAAATGCGACACTGAACGACTTTACTTAACCCAATTCCTCAATAAAAATCAGTTAGCATGTAATTGGATATCACATTATTATTACGCTGTGATTGTAGATTATATTTCGAATATATAACTTTATCGTAGCTGTCGTAGTTATATGTGTATTGTATCTTGATTATTTAACTTTGTCGTGGTTATTTACTAATGATGTTTTGCCTGATTCCCCTTCATTAAAGCTATTGTTGTCCAGAACATTCACCATCCAGTGTTTGTGTTGTGTTGGCGAAGTGAATGGTTAGAGCTTGTTTTATTTGGGGATTTTACATCGTGGCCTGAGATCTAGAAATATTATTATTATTACTATTACTGTTATTATTATTATTACTGTTATTATTATTATTATTATTATTATTATTATTATTACCAGTTGATATTCCGAGAGCTTGCTTGTCGCTTTCTGACGTCATGCTAGGCGTGGCAAGCGAGAGTGTTTCGTTTTATTGATCTAGTTTTCAGCAAGGAATAGCAAAGACAACATCGATTTTCTCGTCGACTAATTCATTTAACGTAACACCCGCAGCCCTTGGTGAGAACTAACGAATTTAGCGGTTGTGGGAAAAATTGAAAGCCTATTAAGATGTTATTTTCATTATACTCACAATCAATATTCCAACTTTTTACATTACGAGACATTAATATTATAATACTTTATCTGCCAGTCAACAACTTTGGAATGTATCTTTCGCTAAAAATTATTTAAATTTATCATAATTAATTCAACCTGAGATTGTCGTTAGTCTGTGACAATATTTAGATAATACTAATTGTAATTATTTTTATTAAAAGATGCTGTAAGAAAAATAATCATTCATATAAACAAACTTAATAACATAAATGACCACAAAAATGCACAATTTATAAGTTAGGAAACTATATATTGAGAATTTTGTCTCGGTGTTCGATTCAACCTTTTTCAACAGTCATTAGTGACTTAAAGAATCAACATTAAAATGGTGACAGGAATATTTATGTACCTTTTTGTATCATTATTAATCACATCTTGAGGAAGTAAACAAAAATAGCTTCTGTTTAGCGTCACCAAAGAAAGGTTGGCGACAATGGCATACCAAAATTTCATCTCAACGAAGGAGTATAAGTAAGTAAATTAAGTAGTGGTAGGAGGTCTCACAGTGGGACAATCGAGACCACGATATCTAAAAGTAACTAAACTATTGTATTATTATTTAATCATTTATTATTACACCGAGAAAAAATACATCCCAAAACATCAGTCAATTGGTAAGGTTATAAAGTACATGTAGTCTATTTAATCCGTCATTCAGTCAAGTATACAATATCACCTCAAAGTTATCAGTCATCGACATTTGGGTAAGTATCGCTCATTCATCTGTATTTTTGTTTTTATCGTCTGTATTTATTGATCTTGTGTCTGTTTTATGTCTCATGTCTGGTATGGTATGATTTATGGGCATATTTCACTTATTAATATAGTGAACGTGACAGACATATTGTATGGGTAACTTATAAGTAGAAATAAACGCACATACTGTACACAAACATGTATAAATGCACGTACACGCGCACACACACACACACACACACACACACTCACACACACACACACACACATGTACAAATATCACTTAACCACCAACACATCAAAATAATTCTGCTTCAAATACCTCCTGGGGATGCATTGTAACGGGACACCTCCTTGAAGAGATTTGAATATGATACTTGACTGATATTCCCACGTACCATATAATTATTAAGGAAAAGACATTACGTTGGGTATATATGATAAGTAGAGGAGACTCGCAACTCTATCCTGGGAGAAAAAAAGTACTTATAGTTAATTCTTAGAAACCACGTAAATACTGTGTCTTATCTGTCCAGTATTAATCCATCACTAAAACAAGATCTCTCCACTCTTTTCCATGTCTTACAATAGAATTTCACCAGTTTGGACCCAGATACATAACCGAACATTGGGTGCTGCCGAATCGTAAGTATAAAATAATATGTTAACATTGGATTTGTTATTTTTTCTTCTGCTTCTGGAACTACAGCGTTATATCTTTCCGTTGACCTCAAGAGATAACTTTCTTATTGGATTTGTTTTCTGCTTCTGGCACGCCAATACTGCTAATTGGTTTACCTCATAAAACAACACCATCAGTTACGGGATAGTAAATGTAAACAGACGTAAATAAAATAAAGTTTTCCCAGGAACGCAACAGAACGTGGCTATGCTAAGCGTTTTATTTTGCTGCCTTTGCATTTATCATTTTCACCATTGATCAGCTTTGCATCTAATTTTTTGTAAAGGTTCATCTTATTTTCTTGCCATTTTTTCTCAATCAATGCACGCTCTTCTTTATTTACGTTATTTATCCTTCTTTTCACAATGCTAAAATTATTATTATTTACTGTTGGTCCTTTGATTACAAGACGTTCACTCTCATTTATAATGATGGAAGTAGATACCAAGATGGTTGCGACTTAAAGCACAACTTTAGGCCACATAGACGAAGCTGCAACCATTTCCCCTATCACCTTATTTACAACGAAATACACTTAATATGAACACAATGTCACTCTCGTCTCCACACCCTTCGAGCTCGTTAAACAGACGAGTATAAGAATATTTTCACGAACTTCTCACGAAAACAGCAAAGCCCTTAAAAGGCAATAATGTAATATTTACACCATCTAACGGGCAGTTCTTTCCTAGCATATACAGACAACTTGCACAATGCAGGTTCTATGAGATATTACTGTACGCTCCTTTTGAGATTAACTACCTTGTATGTTAGGCGCGTAATAACTTCTAGTAAGACTCATATCATGTGGGATATTTATGTCTGAGGAATGACATATAATAATGTAATCTTCCCAGTTCATGCGAGCTGATACACCTATGAGCTTATAGTGTATACTTGTAATCACATACCTACTAAATTCCAAATCAAAATAGTTAGTGGTTAAAAATACTCGTTTTCTCTACATGAAATTTACGCGTTTTCTTCGAGAGGAAAATAAGCTTTATACACGTGTTATAAAACTTGTTCTTTTGATAACTTTGCATAGATTTATATAGAATATATATAAATATTATATGCATATCTGAACTCAAAAAGTAAGATTAAGAATTTTTTTATACGTGTGTGTAAACTGATGGACAGAAATTAAAGAGGCTTCAATAATACACAACCCTGATATATTTTTCAATGTTGTTGTTTACCCCAGAGATGTGAGGGAGAACAACAACAATTCTCTTGACAAAACTTCGTTGTGTAATTTATTAAGACTTTTCATTTGATTATTATTCTCCTACGACAATTGTTTCACTGTTGGGCCACATACAAGGAAGTGTATTTAAAGAAGACATCCACTGTATAGTCAGTATTAAGGACTTATAGCGGATAGTATTAAGAAGCCGGACAAGGTATTGATGAAAGTCCATTTATATTTGTTTTAGGGAGGTGATACGATGAATGAGGTGTTTAGTAAGACAACCGAGACTCTTGTCACTGCCTATAGTCGAAGTTTGATGTAAATGGTATAAATATGTTCCTGTCCACAGTCTTGAAATCTATAGACTGCTTGGGAGGTGATGGCGGGTTTGGTTGTTTGCTGTTCACTGAAAATATTTGTATATTCGCCTACATGCTGCTGCCTAGGTAACTTCAAAGTAGTCTTTTTACAATTCTAACTTTAGATCGATTTATTAGAAGTAACAACAATTGGACAATGAAGGACAATCTCGCCCAACAACCAAACAACCTAAGATAATACAATACTTTATACAGTATTGTATTTTTTATATTCTTAAAAAAAAGTGGAGATATACGCATGGATTTTGAAGTCCTATCCACACACGAATGATGTAGAAAGTATAAAAGTGATTTACGTGAAAGTATTACTTTGTCTTTTTTGTTAATTACATGAGTTGAGAAAGCGTTTATGTTCTAGAGTGAAAGGTCGTACAGTAGGTATGGTAGTTAATGTATGCATTTGGTCTTTACTACCAGAAAAATTATAATATCAAAATCCCCAAAAGGGCCAATTTAATATCATATTGTTCGTGGATAGTTTCTGACTTTGGTTAACGTGTAGATTAATGCTGCCAACGATTCTAGCAAGAACACACTGCTTTTTTCCACCATAATTTGTTTTTTAATTGCGAGTGACAGTGTTTTCTTTCCCCAGAAAAAAACTCTTAAAAAAAAGCAGCAAAATTCATGTAAGAATAAAAAATCTGCCGGCAAAATCACTTGCAGCACTTAGGTAAACGTTTACCAATCGCTGACTTACTTCTGATTTTATTTGTAGCTATCACACACTTTCCTTATTGTTTGATGCTTTGATATTGTTACTGAAACTAGATTCAGATTCTGACCTAGAAAAAAAAAGTTGGAACTTTGGCAAAAAGTACAGGTGAACTAATTCTAATAAGGGGAAACATTCCTTACTTGGTGCTTTAATCTGGATGTGAATAGAATGTATCTGAGAACTTGAGTCAGAGACATGGTCATAAAACAGCAATGCAGTGACAGAAAACTCTCAGTTTTATGTCTGCATTGTTTTTAAGTTGCAAAATTCTGAAGTAGTTTACTGGAGTATGGAGTAATGACTGTTATCACTAATATATGTCCATGTGCTCTTTTTTCAGTATTCTTTGACACAAACATTATGGCCCAATCAAGTTTAAAGCAATATCTCCGATCTCTCCGCTGGACTCCTCTACCAGTCGGTGTTGGTCTTGCACTAATTGCATTCCAACAGTACAGACACACTCGTAAGAGGGAGGCAGCAAAACTTGGCCAGTTGGAGCCATGTGACTGTTTAGCTGATGAATGGGAAGTTGAAGCATACAAGTTATTACCTCTCCGGTCCTTCTCACGAGCATGGGGATGGGTAAATGGTAAGTAACAATTTGTTAAATGTCATTAAACTTCTTCTATATCATTATATTTTTGTCTGTTTATAAAGAAAAAATAAGATAAGATTGCATAACGAATCATTCCTGTTCATCATCATTCCCAGTGGTAAGTAATCCATCCCTTTTAATGTCAAGCTAACAACATAGTCAGTCAATCGAACGTACAACTCGAATACAGGTTATAAACAACAACTACTTTTTCATACCACAGTGAAGAACACCAAACAATCACTACAGGAGCTGATGAGATAGCTACATTAACACTTTAAGAAAGAACACTTTGTGCAATATACTGTATTGCTCCAGACCATAATAAAATACAGAGGATTTTACTAGGTGCAAGTTAAATGGGCTTCTTAATAGGCTCACCATAACCTAACGATTAAAATTGGAACCCCTGAGGAATGGGCATCAATCCTAACAATTAACATAGGTTGGTGCCTTTTAACTGATCAGTATTGTGTCAAAGTAATGTACGTTGTGTGCCATTTATTAAGGTAAAGTTCTTTACAGGAGACTGGATTGTCGATAGATTGTATTAGGATACAAAATTATAAATGAATACAGTACTGTATGTCATGTACTCTATTCCAGGACTTGAGTTACCAGAATGGTCTAGGAAGTCAGTGCTTGGTCTCTTTGTGAGAACCTATGGTTGTAACATGGCTGAAGCAGAAGTAGAGGATCTGAATAAATACAAATGCCTCTCTGAGCTGTTCCGACGTACACTGAAGGATGGCTTGCGACCGCTAGACATGTCTGCCTCAGTGGTTAGCCCAGTTGATGGTAGAATTTTATCTTTTGGAATTGTTAGCTGTGGCATGTTGGATCAAGTTAAGGTAAACTTTATCTCTTGTGTGGAAATCATACGAGAACTTACTTCTTTCTTTGAAATTAAATACTGTACTGTGTGTATAATAGATGGCTACTGTACGATTTTGTCAGTAAAACTCGATGAGATAAAAAATGAACATGAAATTTGAGAACAGAATAATGATAACATGTAATTGTATGGAATATTAGCACTGGTGTTTCCTGCCATATACAGTACTGTACTGTATTTAAATTATCTGGTTTTGTTTTTAGGGTGTGTCATATCCTCTACGGAAGTTCCTGGGTCCCAATTGTTGGAGTGAAGGAGGCCCCATGGTAGTGAACAAGGATGACGATGACTGCTTCCACCGTTCATGCCTCAGGGATTGTGAAAATAACACGCTATACCAGTGTGTAATCTACCTAGCACCTGGTGACTACCACCGCTTTCATTCCTGTGCTGATTGGAAAGTTAATTTTCGGAGGCACTTTCCTGGGGAACTGTTGAGTGTAAATCCTTCTATAGCAGCGTGGGTCAGGAACCTTTTTGTTTTGAATGAAAGGGTTACATATGTAGGACATTGGAAGTATGGATTTTTGTCAATGACTGCAGTTGGTGCTACCAATGTTGGGTCTGTTAGAGTGTACTTTGATGATGACCTTAATACAAATGAGAAAAAGTGGAACAGCAGTATTTTCCATGATAAGTACTTTAAAGAGAAGTCAATTGAACTTTCTAGAGGAGGAGAGTTTGGGGAATTCAACTTGGGATCAACCGTTGTCCTTGTCTTTGAAGCTCCCAAAGATACAACGATATGTGTTGACATTGGACAAAAAGTGAGAATGGGCCAAGCATTATTTAGAATACCTAATTCATATGTAGGGAAAGCCAGAAGTGAGATTGTTCATCCAGGCCCACAACGATAGACCTGTGCTTAGCAATGGCAGACACTTGATGTGCTCAGTACTGGAAATGGTTAATGCCAGGAGAACAATTGTCATGAAGACTTCCTAAAGAACCAACATATTTTGTTGATAATATTATTTATGATATTATAGAATCAAAATATCTTGGTTGTCAAAGTGATTTAAGAAGAAATGTGTTCAGTGTGACAGAGGCTAGTCAGGTTTTAAAATAAAATAAAATGTGAATGTGAGACCTCCACAAAAAATTACCATTGTTGTAGAATTACAATACTAATCAAAGATGCCATATTTTTATCAGTTACAGCTTGTTGTTAGTTGGTTTATTGTTGTTTGCATAAATACTCTATGGTGTTTTTAATTTACAATATTTTGTTTTTACGTTGTGCCAATTTTGAAAAGGTAAATTGAAAGACAGTGAGATGGGGATAGACTGCAGGTAAGGGTTGTCTTGTGTTTGGATAAATTTAAACTAATAGAGACAAAGGACAGTCACTGGACACTCTAAAAGTATATATGTGTCTCGTAAAATGATTCGTAACAATAACCCTCTGCTAGCCTGGCCCCTCAAAAAATTTAAATAAAATAATGTATTGTAGAGGGACTTTTGTGAAAAGATGACACTAACTCCAAAATAATGCTAAGAGGTTACTGTACAGTATTAACATGATATTTTATTAATGAGTAGTTAATATGTAGCCAATACTGCTGGATGGAATAATTTAATTGAGGAACTAAGAATTATGAAAATTAAATAAGAGTTCTTTATCATGAATATCTGCAGAAGAGCCAGAAGAATCATATACGTACAGTATAGATACAGGTCCTCGAAACTGGTGATTCTCGAAAACCGGACATTTTCTTCCCTTCCACACACACACTGACACAAATGCAATTGGAAGTTTATTTATCTTCTTTGACAAAATATAAAGAAATTGTTTGATGCACACTTGAGATGACCCTCCCCCTCCCCCCAGATACAGTCTACAGCACAGTACTGTACTTAAAAGTTGAGAGCTCTCTAAATGTGAGTTGGATGGATTTGTTGATGTCCCAGCAGCTTGTACAGTACTACAGTATAGTGAGTTGTGACATATACCAGAAATATTAAGTTCATAAACAATTCATTTATAATCTCATTGAAAAACTAAAATTAAACATTGATTATGTTTATTTATGGTTGTTTATACAGTACAGGTATTAATAAAGTACTGTATCACTATTGTTTTCACATAGGTTTTGAAATTATTATTGTTCAAATTACAACAATGGTTCAAGATAGATGATACCAGATGTTGCCTTGAATCCCTGCTGTAATTTGACTAATAATAGTTTCAAAGGTTATGTGAAAACAATGATATTTAATTAATTTAAATAAAGGTACTCAAGGTGTTGGGTTATTTATTCAGTCAGACAATAATTGTGTATGAACTCACTCCTTGTGGCATATGTTGTGCAACTCACTGTAATCTGTAGGGACCATTTAAATTGCATTTAGAGAACTTTCAACTTCTAAATAGACTATGCCTGTATTATATATATATATATATATATATATATATATATATATATATATATATATATATATATATATATATATATATATATATATATATATATATATATATATATATATATATATATATATATATACAATGATGATTTCTTTATTTTGTTATCTGAGAAGTATAACAAACCTTCAACTGAGTTTATGTGAGTGTGTATAAGCAAATTGTGACAGTTTTCTGGTAGATCAGGAAGCTGGAAAATCATCAAAACTAGTTAGGTCTTGGCACCAAAGGCCCTGAATTTGAGGGTCTATACCTGTAGCAGATGACCCAGTTTCCTACTCTGAATATTTTTTGCATGGATAATTCAGAGTGTTTGATAAATGACTGTACATTATATGGTGTGTGTAGGGTCGTGTCCTCAATAGACATATGAGCATTTGGGAATATGCCTACAGTATATCAAACAAGATGAGAGAGTGTAGTGTTGAACTTTGGATGTCTTGTTACCATAATACCTGTATTTCACTTTGGACACAGTATAACGTATTCAAGTTGAGGATATAAGCAAGTTTGAGTTGATATATATTAGTCATGTATCGGATGTCAAACAATTACATCTTTCAGATGTGGATGTCCACCTTTCACATCCTTGTGGATGCGGATGTTTGTTTATGTGTAAGTAAAAAAAATTTAAATGTAATAATTGAACTCAAACTTTAAATACTAATTAATTTTGTTGATTTATTTGCTATAAGAATACTATCCTTAAAAATCCTACTATTTAATTTTCTCATAGTAATTCATATTCATAATTTCATATTACTGTACAGTATATTGTTATTTTCTCTATTTTAAAAGTTTTTATGGTGAGTTTTTGCCACACAACGGTGTGATAGTTGTGTGTTACGAGGACAAAAACAACCCAATAAATTAATATTCTTGATAAAGTTCTTAGACTCTTTACAAACATCAAATATGTACACTCTGGAAAGCAGGAAAGTCACTACTCACACCCAGTACTCTATGGTAACTGTCTCAGCCGTGTTGCCAGTTACCACGATTGATCCTGTTTGTCTTACTAAATTACACGTCAAGCGCAATAATAATATTACAATTGATTCTCCCAGTTTCTTTACATATTGAGAGTAAATTAATAAGAGTGAGAGAGGGATAAGTGACTAAGGCAAGGTTGCTCTGGGCAACATCCTCATTCTGCAGGTGATGATGCAGATGCGGATGTTGATTGTGATGTAAATGTGGATGTTGATGTTAATGCAAATGCAGGTTTTGTTTTTGATGTGGATGCGGACGTGACATACATCTCTAATATACGGTATATACTTGTTGTCATAGCACTGTCTTATCGCTTTCTACATTTACCTTGCATTACTCTATCTTATTAGGGTGCAATAGCTGAAAGCATACAGCCTCATATATAACATCTAAGACACTTCCATTTCACCTAACTTTACAGCTTGGGAAAGTGAAGGCATTCAAGACTGTCTCTATGTGTACCAAAAAAAGGCTTACTCTGTGGTGTGCTACATCCACACTATGGAATCCACTTTTGCGCTTTCTATTTGTTGTCTCTCTATGAGGTTTCTGTACCTTGTGATCTGCCTCACACAAAAGTGGAAGAGGAATAAATGTGACAGATGCACTGTAACATCTGATGGTACTGTATGTATGTCTATCTGCAAGAGTCCGTGTAATTACTACATATAGGTGGTCGCCATCTGTTTTCTAGTGTTTGATAATGTTTTTGTTTTTTTGCTGTTATTTATCTCTCCTACTGTGTCAGTGTTGCCAGAATCAAGAGCAGTATGGACTCTTCCTTGATTTGTTATCATTCATTCTCTCTCAGTGTCTGTGATATATGTTGTTCTAGTAACCCCTTGTGTACAGGTTCCCTCGGAGCTGAATGCAATTGTCTGGCATTAGTCAAATAATATATTACAAGTGGCACCCCCATAATGAAGGGATATATATATATATATATATATATATATATATATATATATATATATATATATATATATATATATATATATATATATATATATATATATATATATATATATATATATATATATATATATACAGTATATATATATATATATATATATGTCTACTATGTTTCCAAGTATTATAGAGACATTCCCTAAATGAACAATACACTATACACCAGTTTCTCTGATATAACATTTACTATATTTTAGTTTAATTACTGAATTGACCTCTTTGTGTTGACTTCTTATCATGACAAAGCTTGAAGCAAAAGGCAGACTTTTACTTTTAATAGTTCTTGCCATGAAAATATTGAATCCATATTAAAGATGAATTAGTGTATATTGTTGCTGTTATTTTGAACACGATACTGTGCATAGATATGTAACATTCTTTAAAGTGAACATTGTAATAAAAGTACAGTGTATATTTTTTACTCACATTTAGAAAACAGGCACAATTCATTTCTGGTTAAAAAGTAACAAATTGAAAACTATATTATGAAGATAAAAATATGTACTACAGTACTAAATAAATTTCCCATGAAAAGCAGTAAATAAGGATGTTGTCTTCCTTACAGCCTTTTTAAAATCCTAAGATTCAATGCTGCAATTTACCCGGAAGGTCCTGGTCAGTCAAGTTGTGTAAGTGAGGTTCATGGATAAACTTGATGTGGGAGATAATGTTGTGGATCAAAATATTTGAGCAAAAGAAGAGTTTGCTAATCATGTAATTTTATTATTATTATTGTGTGTGTAAGGGGTGCATTTATGGGAATGTGTTGTTTATGTACATATGTATGACTAAGTATGTTTACCAGTGTGAGAGGGAGGTGTATGTAAGTTTGAATGAGAGGAAAAGACTAGTGCTAATATCCGTTAAGTTATATTCATGCTTGTGTGAGTGGCTGTGTATATTTGCCTATTATGTACGCAGGTATTTATTGATGTTACATGTGGATTTTCCAGATATGTTATTTATATCGAGTAGAGATTTTCATGAGGGGCAAGTAAGATTTTGTACTTATGTTCACAGTATGGCTATTGATTGACAATAAGTGTACCTGCACAATGTTCTACGACAACAGGGGCTGAAGTGGTTATCCTGATATTGGTGTTCGTTTTGCTCAAGGTGCAGAAAGTTGGTTGTGGCACCAGGGACTTTTATACAAATTTTGCATCACTTTATGTGTTATAATTAACGATCCTTTATTGCATTATTATAATTTCAGTCAATGTGGCCACAATCAAATTAATTTTCCATCAATGTGTTTGTATGTTACTACAACCAAGTCTTGTGAATATACTGTACTTCCACCACTTTTAGTGGAAAATATTGATAAGTTGGTAAAGGTATATTGTATTGATAATGTGCATAATGTACATGTAATGACATGTCAGTGAGATTAGAGTTAGAAAAGTGAATCTGGGCTGCATTTGAACGGATGGATAATAATTATAAAGATATTTACACATAAAGGTAATGTTGTACTTGAGTATTATGTACTTATTAGATGCTGTACTAGCACAATAAAGAGTTGGTGTAACAGCCTTATGAAGCTTTTGTAACAAGGTAGTTTAATAGAGCTTTTTTATGGAGAATAAAGTATAATAATTTAATCCGTGAAACACTTGCTATGGTGGCACAGAAGACAAGCAGCCTTACAGCAGTCATTAATGAATTTTATAAGTTTAATTAGAAATGCTAGTTTCGTGTTGAGAGCTAAGTAAGAGTTGTTTCTGTTTATTACCTTGTTGAGTCGTCCTCTAGTGGGAAATTATCAAGTGAGAAAGCTTAGGGGGTGACACTAATCCTTCTTAAACAATACTCATGATACTTTACTACAACCCTTCTTTGCATAAGGTGGTTTTACACTGCTAAATCCACTCCTGAGTAAAGTTACAGCTGAATAATATGAAAAGTTTTGTATTTTAGTCCCAGCAGCTGATGAAGGGGCTTTCAGGAAATAATATGAAATGCTTTGAATGGTAATATAAGTGATAAATAAGAGCCAAGTCGGCTTGACCTTTGGAGACACATGCTACTATTCACAAGAAACTCTACCAACTCCCTAATTGAGAATGAGTGTTAGTTTCTCCGACCAAGAAATGAGCGAAGCATTTAGTGTCAAGATGGGAATGAATACTGTAATTTATTTATATTGTTATCTAGAATACAGTATTGTGATAAGCCACCAGGTTGCACAGATTTGTATAGAATTTGTATTAAATAATTCATATCAACTGGTGTAGTATTTTTCCTGTATAAAATGCCTTTGAATTAAGTGTATTTCAGATGATGTTTTAACACTGTTGGCAGCAAATAATACATGTCAGCACCAAACATACATTAATATCTTACAAGAATCAAATGAACGATATTATTCTTTATTCTACCCAATCTAAATATGGACAGGGTAAAGACAAGTAAAGATACGACACAGCCAGTTACTCATGTATTGAGCTGATATATAATGTGCTTTGGTTCTGTTTAATTTCTTATAAACAATTTAACTGTTACTTCAGTTGTACACTCACGCGCCATAGTTGCGATGCACCCTCTACCCCTACTCCTGACTCGATGGGAGTATTCTTGGCTTCATACCACCCCCCTCCCCTCACTTCCCCCCACCCATCGTTCAGTGCTGCAATGTGGTAACTCGAAGCTTCGCTGGATTGTACGAATAGCAGTTCATTTGAGAGAATATATGCACGATACAGGTTTTTTAGTGACTTCACAGCACTTTATTTACCATCACTATACAAGAGGGACTTCGGTTTGCAGCCCTGACAACGACTTCCCTCGAGCCAGGAGTAGGGGTAGAGGGTGCATCGAAACTATGGCGAGTGAGTGTACATATAGCTTCTGTTCACGTTGCAGTCTCATATTTTTGGCTGCATGACTAGTACAATACACTGCCCTAGTACTTGGCTGGCTAGAATCCTCTCTAATAAGGAACACATGGATATAATACTGTACTGTACATTATTAATACTGTAATAAAAACTCGGATAGTTAAATTAATTTTAGTTTTCAGCTACGATGACCCTGAGGGATCGTTAATTTTAATATAGCAACTAATTTACAAGGCTTAGCCATATATCACAAATGATGTTGCTAGACAACAAGAAGTAACACAGATTTCAACATCACTGAACATAGAGGGGAGGGGCTGAAATTTAGTGCACTTTACTCAAGTCTTTTGTTACTGTGCCGTGTTAATAAGCAACAGCTCCATTAAAGAAGAAACAAACATCACCATTGAATTTTAGGGGGTTGGGGGTCACCAGTTTCACATTAATGTGCTGTATAACTGGGAATCATGTAATAAAAACGGCAGGATAATAAATTTTTAAAAAGCCTAATTTGGTGTTAAGAAAAACAAATTAGATAAGCAAATAAAACCTTTAGATAATGCACTGTTTCTCGAACACTCCATCGTTAACTCTTGCTGCACACTTTTTACAACGTACTTCACCTCACTCACTACTTAGTCAACACCATCATTGTACAGTACAGTAGATCTGTACACTAAACCAATATGGGGTGGAATCCATAGTAACTGAACTATATTACAACAATTATCACGAGCTAAAGTAAAAGCTGTATTATCTGTGTGATTAAAGGGAGATGCCAAGATTTAGGTGAGGAGAGGGTTTGGAGGGCAGATTGGGAATCACATGTAATTACTCCTTTTAGTCTCCTCTGAAAAAGCAGATCAATTGCCTGTAAGAGTCTGCAGCCGACCCAATCTTCCTCCAGTAATTCAACAATTAGGTGAGAAAAGAGTGCAGCCTTTTCTCCCATCTACCTGCACCATACAGTTGGTGTATGGCAGGGACTGGGAAGACAATGTGTTCATGGACTCTAGAGCTAGTTGTCTCTGAGGTGTCAGTGTGGAACACTACTGGACAGTGAATCCTTTAAGGTGAAAGACAATGATCAACATCTGCAACAGGCTGAGGTTCTTTAGTGTGGAGTAAACTATTTCAATGTGATTAAAACTACCCAGACGAAGTAGATGCTGTAGTGGACGTCTCCCCTACAACTACGTAGCTGCAGGCCACCTGAGACGTCTTCCCTAGCAACCAAACTAGCGGCCCAGGGGGGGGCGTCACCAGATGCCACCGTATCCTAGCAACTGAGTCAAAAGACCGGCTACTTCCTGGGTTTTCCCTACATGACTCACAGCTGCTGTGTATATAAGCTCTGTCTCTCCATTGAGATTCATTCTGGCCTCTCTACTTGAACACGCAACACCTCCTCCTCCGCCGCTGCCTGGCGGCCCTCGCTTCTCCTCCGCCTGCCTGGCGGTCCTCGCTCCCGCCAGCGAGCATGGCGACCCACCAGCTGTCCTTCTCTGAGCTTCCTCACCAACCAGCTCTCATTCTGCTCTCGGTTCCTGAACACGCAACACCTCCTCCAAGCAAGCTCCTGCTGTCCCGTTCTCATTCAACCAGGAGGCCAGCAACAGGCAACATCTTCTCTAACGAAGCTCCTGCACATCTACCTCCTTCAACACACTACTCACCGAACGTGTCTACTGAGCAGCTCCTCACCACACGGCACCTCCAGCACCAGACTGTCTACCATATAACTTATATTATATAAGAAAACCACCTTAGAGTTTCCATCCATCCTGAGTGCTAGACAACATTATATCACGAAACCCTACAATGCCAAGATGTCTCAGGGTCAAGGCTGGTTTTAAAGACATTAGAATAGCGGGAGGCAAGGTAGAGAAAATAAAGAAATTTAACAATGAAGTTTAGAATAATTTTATATTCCCTCAACTCAGGGAGAAATATTTTGGGAGAGATCGGATAACTCAGAATAAATCGATAGAAAAACATAGCTACTTTATATGGTGCACCCAGCCTATAGACTCCATCTGAGAGCTCTGAACAGGGCCCCAACCTTCAATGGAAAAAGAACAATAATACAGTAAATGATTGGTGGACGACGAGTTTATACACGACTTAAAATAATTAGCAGAAATACCACTTGAGCAGATGAAAGGTAAAAAGAACAGATCATACGATAAGCTATTTTAATGTGAGGTTGAGAAGTGATACCACCCTCAGTGTCAAGACCTGACTGAATTACTCAGAATAGGCAAACTGTACTACAAGCTTTATCAATAAATTTGTTAAACTTAAAAAAACGTTAACTTTACTGAGAATACGCTTACTCATGCCAACCAATTCTTAACAATGAGGTACAGTATGTTTGATTCTATACTGAGATTTTAATTATAAAGTAAAGGTGTCATACAGATCTATCTAGTTTGATATCTGCTCGTGTGTTAATCATAAAGTTCACTAATTTACTTTACTGTAATCTTTTTTAGCCACTTGGTCGCGACTTTTACACCCCATTGACAGGTACAACTACTGTTATACTGGATCAAGAAATTATTTATCTGAAACTGAGTCACTATTGATCAAATTCTCTAGCAAATTATTTAAAGAGTTCACAACTCTCGCTTCTCGGGCCCAAGACATAGATAGTGGTGAGAGACAAGGATTAGTGAGAGATAGGCGCGTTACCGTTGTATTATTTCATGTTTTTCAAGATGCAAATGTTGTAAAAACACTAAAATCAATAATGCTGTGAAACTTAGCCGAGATAGATACAGGAAAGCAACATTAAGGCGTGTATCCCCTTCCACATGCTTAATGAGAATCTGTTGTTCGTGAATCTGTAATGAATAAAAAAAAAAAAGATAGTTTACTGGAAATTAATCTTAATTATATCATTAATAAATATAAACTATCATATTTTCTACTGAACTAGTTTTTAAAATATTTTATTAGTAGAGTATTAAAAGTGCTCGCTTGTTTGTTTACAGGTCTCAGGCGTTGGTGATCCTCCTGCAGGACGGAGCAGTGGAGCCTTACTACTACTGTACTGTCAGTGAAGATGGACGACGATAGAACTGTTTGGGTTGGAAACTTTGAACCTGAAAGAGTTACTCAAGAGCTCCTGTACGAATTGTTCCTGCAGGTAATGAGCTGAGGACGGTGTTTAGGGCCACTGTACTGCACTTATCACCTTCGCTCTTGTACAATACACGTATACTGTATGCATTAACATCACTATTAACACTGTAAATCTGTGGTCCTCGGGCAGGGAAGTTTATTATCCCTTATTCATCATCTGCCAGCTAATTTGTGACTAAAAGACACTTCAATAAGTACCTAAGATACTCAATACAAAGGTTGTTTTAGGATTATACCACGTCAAAATGTTACCAGTGAGAAAACCAAATGGATGTTAATACTGTAGTGTGTTTGTTATTCCTTACGCCACTGCCTTATGTGCCATCACCGATTCAGAGGAGCCAGTACTAATTCACTATAGTTTTAATAGAATTGAACTATAGATCTTTTCCTAACATGAGTATCAATTGCTCGGTCCCAGCTGTCAGATATACTAGACACAGTTCAATATTTATCCTGGTAATACTTGATGACAGTTCTGTGCTCTTAACATCAACTTGAGGAAATTACTCTATAGAAGATATGTAACATAAATATGGCTATTCCTCAAACGCCGGCTCGCGAACCCATAACTAAAACGGTGATTTTTCTAGTACTGTGCAGTTTTTGATGGCGCTAATAATGTAATACACTGACCAGGTTAGGTAAAGTTTTTTAGTTATGTTTTTAACTCCACATTTCCCTCCACATGGAAATAGAAGTTGTAATGGAAAATTTTGAAAAACTTATTAATCACGGAAAACGAGAAAAATATTGAACGGTAACTTTCCAAAACTTATCAGACTTAAATTTATTTTATAATAGGCTGTAATGTACACATTTTGCCTTTTACAAATTCCATCAAGGATTCAGTGTGTTTTTGTTTATATGCGTGTTAAGTTAAGAACCAGGAGAACATTAGGTGAAGATTATGACGAGAACCTTTAATTAATGTGCATAGGATGATGGAGCATAGAGAAATAATGTTATTTTATTACATTTTGGGTTTTCAGTTTGATTTTGTCAATTTTGTGGGATTTAATGTTTACTTCTTTATGTGATCAGATTACAACAAATTGGATGGGATTTAAATTCACTGGAACAAGTTTTGCAATTTACTTCTCAATCATGATTGACCTTGACCAAACAGGGGACGCCACTCTGTCATGTAAAAGATCTGTGCATGCCTAATCATTCCAAATGGAAATCTTCCATCGCAGTACATTTTTCATGTCATGGTTGTTCTGCATTGGAATGGGGAACTATTCAACATGTTTTGGACAATAATGCTGCTGCTTCTGACAATTCAAAGGTGTATTGCTTACTTCCTTAATGTGTCCAAAGTGTGGTGCAAACTGTCATTGCTGTGATGATATTCAAGATAAACACATTTGGTTTTGATAAAAGAGCAAAATAACCAAGACCAAGGTAAGGTAAAGCTAGGTCAGGTTGCCTTAGGTTTGGCTGGGTCAGTTTTTTGCATTGTTTAACCCACAATTTCTCTCAACTTCAAAGCCTTACCTTCTTTTTTTGCAAACAAAATAATTTTTACTAGAAAAGAAGGTCAGATTCATTTAAATATAAGAAAAATTTATTGTCGTTAGTGATTCCCGTTCACATACACTACTGAATAATATTTATGGAATACTATTATTTCTTTTGCTGATGGGAATTGGTGAAATCATTCCGAGTTATTTAATTCCTATCTGTTCCAGTTCCAACCATAAGCAATACATAACGTAGTACAGTACCATTCAACAATGTTTACTCTCACATTTTCACTACATTCACAATGTACAATCATAATTATATTAAGGGAATTCTGTAGATTTGTTTATTAGTTATACTGGCCTGTAGATGATGATGGTGATAAAATAGAAACTCACATATTGATTTATTTTTTCAACACAATCTCTGACACAGCATGAATGAATTAAGTAAACAAAAAGAACACATCTTTCCTGAAAATATTGTATAGTGTCTAGCAAGTATAGTATAAAATCAGTACTGTACTGGGCTTATTTCACTTAATTATGTTTATTATTTGGTTTATAATCATGGTGTATACTAAAAATTTTCATTGGTATTTTAAAGACGGGATTTTTTCCTCCTTCGTATTAACCAACCCCCAAAATGCACACGGGTTTTGAGGGAGTGAGATCTGCCATTATTTCTGCAGCTATTTCAGCCTCAATGTATGCCTGTAACATGGAAAAGAACGAGGGAGATGATGCTTTAATCATAATTTCCGTAACTTGCATGGTTTAAGTTTGAGAGCAAGTATAAGTTAAGTTTTATGTTCAAAATATATAAGATAATATATACTTAAATTTATTTTATATATAAGTTATATTTAAATATGAATGAAACTAATACAGTCCTATGCAGAATTGTCTCAAAAAGTTGATGCAACAATAAAATTAGATCTAAGTTATAATTTTATGAAGATAATAAATTAGTTGTTGGCTGTCAAAAAATTGAGCGGTTCTGGTGGCTGCACGGTAATCAGTAAAAGTTAGTGTTGTCAAATGACTTACGAGCTTATGTCTACAGTTTTTACAGCCTCAATGTATGGCAACATCATACATGATGGCAGCAAGAGTGGTGTTACCAACATCAGATGTGGTCTTGGCAGGGTTAGTGGTGGCAACATCAGATGCAGGGGTGGTGGGCAGAGAGAGATGTACTAGTACTCTTAACAGCTGACGAAAGTGTACTGAGCACCCCTCTGTGTCATTCACTGAGACTGGTGAGAAACATAAATGTCACAGGCCAAACTGCATCAACTTCTGATACACTTCTACAATGATCTAAATTATTTGTTCTTTATGGCGCAGTATATACGTCTTGCATATGTTTATGGGTATGTGTAGTAACATATAATTTGTTGGATCTCATGTGAATTTAGGGCTATACTGTATGTAGTAACACACCCATGCTGCATCTCATATACATTTGATTGTTAACCAGGTGGATGTTAGTGATCCAGGGAAAAGCTTGAATATCATTGGCAAGTCTTCCTACATTACAAGTGCCACCTGGTTTTGGGCTCCACCAGAAAGAGGGTTTTCAGGGTCAGTCTTCCATTACTGTACTCCATCTCCCTTTCTTCTTGCAGGCTTTAGATATCTGAGTTTCCTTGCAACTAAGCAGATTATATGGGATAGATCTCTGGTAGTCCAATTTTATGACTTAAGGTCAGCAACAAGGAGACTTATTCCTTCCCTCCTCCTAGTGGGATTATCATCAAGTTTGGCTGTACTGAGGTTCCCTCCTGTAAAATCCAAGATGGTTGACATTGCATTCCAAGTTTAGTGATGGCCTTGGTCATAAACCCATAAACTTGATGGGTACAATACACGAGTCTCCTTGTCACCCACTTGGTAATAAAATGGAATTGCTCTTGTGTTATGAAATTAGCACTGATTTGTAGATTAATTCATCACAGATTCATTAGTAAAATTGTGACATATGATGCAAATAAATTTTATAAAAAAATGCTTGTTGATTTTAATATCATAATTTCTTTCTCCAGGCTGGCCCTCTTGCCTATGTGAGGATTCCTAAAGACAAAGCCACAGGCAAACTGAAAAATTTTGCTTTTATCTGCTATCGTCACACTGAATCTGTGCCATATGCCATAGAACTGCTGAATGGAACACCATTATTTAGTCGTAGTATAAGGGTACAGAGTCGATACCTTCAAGACCTGCAGCAGAGAGGACTTGCCTCCTCGGAATCAGGAGGAATACACACACTTGATCCTTTCTCTCCTAAGATAGCAACTGGTGGAGACCTTCAGGGATGTGACCAGCAATATTATCAACAGTGTTATCAGCAGTATTATCAGCAGTATCAGCAGCATTATCAGCAGCAGTATCAGCAGCAGTATCAGCAGCAGCAACAGCAGCAGCAGCAGTTATGGCAGTATCAACAGCCCACCTTAAGTCCCATGCCAAGTCTCATGAGAGCTCAAGGGGCTCAGATTCCTAGCCATATCTTAGCAATGGCTCAGCAGCAGATAGCAATGCTTAATACCCAGCAACCTGTCCTTCTTTCTGAAAATCCAATGCTTAATTCTCCCAGACATCGAACAACAGACAGATTTGGCTCATTAAATCATGGTAGAAATTATTCAAACCAGAGAGATGATAGTCTTCATGGACAAAGCCGACAACATGACAGTAGGACTGGTGGGCCAAGGTCAGTGGACAATGAAACAATGCGGGCCATGAAATCTCGTTTTGATAGAGATGCTGACGATAATTCTAAAATGTTGTCTCAGTTACACCAACGTCAAGGGCGCTTTGACTACAGTAGACTTGGACCAAGGAATGACCACAGTAGTAGGCAACACGACGAGAGGTCCCAGTCTCATGAGAGGTCCCATAGGCATAATGACAGGTATGATAATAGTTCTCGGCACCAGAGGCAAAGTGATGACCATGGCAGGTCTTCTGGTAGGAGTCGTCACGACCCTTACAGTAGGAGTTCTAGACGCTGATTTATACCTTGTGTGCTCAGTTATCTTCTTATCCTCTCTCTCTGAGGACAGCTACCCATTGGTGGTTATATTTTTTGTATTGTATTGTTTGGGAAATTTAAGTTACCGGGTATGTTAATTTTCAGTACTTTTAGTACAGTATATACTTTGAAACAATTATGTTTTCAGTACTCTTTCCAGCCCAATTGTGGGAATTTCAGGTAATATATCTATTATCATATTAGATACTGTATATGACACCACAGATCTAATTATTTTACTACTTGTTAGAAGAAAAAATTCCCAGAATTTCTTTTTATAGTAGGCTGCAGGTAAAGCCTCATATTATTAAAGATGGATATTATTTAATATAAACATTTGACTAGAATGCATATTAGTAGAGCACAGGGTGGATTTGTGCTTTCTGACCACAAGATATTAACTTCTCTCCACTTATTTATATATTAATGAGTGTCATTAGTTCACGTGGCTGTTTGATCACTTCACTTTTACAGTACAGTACTGTACTCGGTGGACAGATGTTTTCTTATACAAGTAATAATCAGGGACGGATCCAAGACTAAGACGATGAATTAAACCAGTGGTTTGGGGGTTACTTAGTACTGTAGCCCATTTAGCCAGAGGTGTAAAGAAGCACAGAGGTCCAAAATAAACCAGTGTAGTAAATCCTCCTTTAGGGAAAAATTAGATTGACTGTGAATTAGAGTAGAGGCATGTGCCGCCCGTGCCCTCTCCTAAACTGTGTTCTGTTTTAAAATCTTATTTTTCAGATTACAGTAAATTCCTAATGTGAAATAACTCTGATCCAATACTATAAAAAAAATATAATATTGAACTGTATTTCTCTTTTACAGTAGTATACTATATTTAAGCATAAATATAGAGTGCAATACAAATACAAAGCCTGTTGTGGAGGCATTGTTACCAGGTGGAACAAAATTTCAACATTAAACTTTTCCTTGTGACATACAGTTTTGGTAAAACCTAGTGTTTTTATATTACTTTAAAATATAGTATGATTACTATATTTCCTTTAGTTCAGTGTCACCAAGGGCTGTTGTGCCTTGACTGTAAATTTATATGATCATAAGTACAGTTTCAGTCAAAATGAGGACATTTGTTAACACTGATGTTGACAAACCAAAGTAAATTAACTTAAAGTATTGAAAGATAACTCAAGTTAATGGTGTTAACACATTACAATACTGTAGGCTCTCCAATATTTGCATTAACTGGGACTGAGAACATGGCATATATATTAGACCACCGGAGCACATGAAAAGTAATCAAACTTTTTAGTAGAAAGTAAATTAAAAGTTTTATTACAGTGTACAACAACATTGAATTAAACACAATTACTTCTGATTAAAAACTAAAATGGTCATCTCTCATAATCAATGAAAAGACTTCACACAGTATAGTAACAGAGATGTTCAAAGTGAACCACTACTTTCACTGTTTCTCTTATCCACTAACATACATACATACATACATACACACACACACACAAAGATTTAATGATTTCTTTATAAAAAGTTTTTCTTGCTGTCTTAGGCTCGTGGAAATAGCAGATGCTCGTGAAATATACAAAAAAAGCAAATGTTGCGGCATAGCGCAGATAACATGACCGGCATATCAGATAAAATGGAACTGTACTGTGCTCAGCGCTGCTTTCACACATTTGGCTAATGACTGTACTCTGCTGTGACCAGAATTTCATTTGTCTTGAATGTTCTCCAGATAGGTTTCACTTATGAACTAAATATCCTCAAAGTAGTTGCCAGATAACTGTATTGTTTCATTTTGTACATAGTCTTTTGGGTTTAAGTGTCTCAGCATTTAGTTTGGTGTAACCTTTATTTTTATTGTTTTTTCAAACCCTCAGTTCAGAATTTAATCCCACCCATCACTTGTATGTCATTGAGTGCATAGCTTCGTCCACCCACAAAAAAATTACATCTTGTTATTCTCAACATAAAAGCATTTACAAGAGCTTAACCACAGCAGTGTATATGTATGTTTGTTTATAGGCTGCGAGCTTATTATTATAGGATTACCTAGCAGTTGCACTGTAGTCACAGCAGTAGGATCAGTTTGTACTGTACAGTGTTGTATATTGAATTTTCAGTAAAAAAATGAGATTTTATTCAGTTCTGTTGGTTAATTTTCATTTTGTTTCCTCAATCCATTAATATTTTATTTAAGGTTTTCTCAAAGAACAACAAAGGAAAAATGTGATGAAGTAGGTATGTCCAGATATTTGTGGTTGTGTTGGCTGTGGTGGTACATTTTGTTGTGTAAATAGAGAGGATACAGAGAAAATAACGGGCGAGTGTTTGAACTGTGAAGAAGGGCTGATGGAACAACAGTTGGGGTAACATTTTATTTAAGGTGGGATGAATACAGTAAGTGTGGTAACTGAGGATGAGGTGAGGGGGGGGGGGGAGCATATGATGAATGTCTTGTGAAGATGCCCGTCACAACTGATAAAATGTACAGTAGAACGTTCTGCAAGGTTCATTCCCTGGTGTAGCAAGAAAAAATAAGGTCTTAGAGGAAATACTTAGACCAACTAACAGATAACTATTTTTAGCAGCGTTAGTTAGCTCTGTGAGTGCCTTTCCTGACACACTCGAGAGGAAAAATTCTCCTGTGCTCCCAGCCTATTCATGTTACTAACCACTGATGTAGTTGATGATCTGTTCTTGTTTTGTTTTGTTTTTTATATGTGACATCAATAATGCATGCTTTCTGTACATAAAAAAGAAGCTGTTTGCTAACTAACTGACATGTAATCACTATATTCCTGTGGTTGGGACTTGTTTTATTATTATAGTTATAACCTAACTGACCTGCAGTTTCTCCTCTTTACAATGGATAGGATTTTTGGTATTGTACTGTTTCATTATTTGTATGTTGTGGCTCTCACTGTTAACAGCTTCTGAAGTTCTTTAAAAACAGCAGAATCGTTTATATTAACGTGGACACAATTGGTGGATAGACAGTGGAACATGCAGATAGATCCTCTGTTGGCATTTCTTTTAAAACATTTTACCATAACACTACTAATTTCTTTCTTCAAAATGTGATATATCAGATATCGAAAGTTAGCGAATAAAGAAAGGACCTTCACAGATTTCATTCAAAACCTCCATCATAACACTGTGTACTGTACTCTTCATGTATATGTTGCTCAGTAGTTATCTGTGCTTGCTGTATGCTGGAGAAACTTACGATTGTATTAATTTGATCTATTGTAATCTGATGGAAGAAGTAAAACTAAAAAGATTTCACAACAAAATTTACATTTGTTTATGATTTGTTTTAAGTTGAGATATTGCTTTAAGTTATGTTTACACTGTTTAAAGATAATGGCACATATCATTCCTTATTGCCCTTCCTAAATGTGAGAGGTTGGCTTGGCTTTTTTAATTAAGTTTGCATCACATTCTCCTATCCTCAATAACTTCCCTTCCCCTTTTCTCCTGTCTTTCTCAGCAGCATCCTTCACCCTTAACTCCCATCTTCCTCATCAATCTACAGCATACCTCCTTCATAACTCCTATCTTCCTCTTGATCTCCTCTCTCTGATGGGTCATTCTAGGTCCTCTTAAATCTCTTCACCCTCTTCTCAATCATACCACATGCCTAAAGCATCTTAATCTTCATATGTGTATTAGGTGATCCAGGCAAGAACAAGATAAGTGGAAAAAGGGGGCTTCAGATGTGCTTATATAGGTACACTTATTTAGAGATTGATAAACTTTAACTGTGTTTTTTGGCCTCCCCCTTCTTTCCCCACCTTCACTTTTTTGCCACTTGTCTCGTGTATAATGTATAACTTTTAAATATATGTTGTAGAGTAGTGTGAATTTCAAACAATCTTACTGATAAGTTAATAATGCTCCTTAAAAGCTTTTTATCTGTTGCATGACAAGAATTTAAATTATTCCCAGCCAAACTAACAGACCTGACTAACAGCCAAGCTGGAATGGAGTCTTTCCTTGTAATAATAATAATAACAACAATAATAATAATACTAATAATAATACAAATATTAGAGTGATTAGTAAATCTGTAAAACACATTTGTCGTCTTTTTATTACTCATTTGATGTAGTTTGGCGAGCTTTTTAAAGACATACTGTACTATGATTATCAAGTTTCTTTAAATCCTCATTAATTCTCTTACTAAGACAATCAGTGAGAACCCGGACAAAAAGTAAAATGATTACTGTACAAAATTCTTCTATCATGTTGAGAAAGTCATTAATTTCCCTCCCTTCTATGAACTAAATTACCATACTCATTCCTCATCACTGTTGACAACCGACCATTAGTAACCAATACCATTTGTACATAAGTCTCTATTGCTAAAATTCAGTCACTTAACCATTGTGTCATAAATATCAACTAAAGAAAAGGTGTAACATGTAAATATTTTCCAAATACCGTACGCACATTGTTTTTCCGTACTGTACCCACTTAAAACTGTCACTTTTACTGGTTAAAATGCAAGAATTTAGCCCACAAACTTTTAGCCATTCTTGAGAAGCTTTGCCTGAGATGACATTTTTGTTTTTGAGTTTTGAAAATATACCCATGATGACTAAAATTGGAAAGGTGGAAGTACTGGGATGATATGATGTCTGTTTGGCAAGGACTAGTGATGTTTTTTATATTATAGAAGGTGTTACTGTAGTCATATGTCTTTGCCAGTTTCCCAATATTCACAAACTGTTTAAAACTGAACTTGCTTAGCATGTATGATTTACCGAATTCTCGAGCTGATACTTCAACATACAAGCGCGTGCATTAATGTCAAATAGGGGTAGTGCTAAATACACTTATAATTTTAGGTTATTAAATAGGTTTTTGTATTTCCAGATATATATATATATATATATACAGTATATATATTATATATATATATATATATATATATATATATATATATATATATATATATATATATATATATATATATATATATATATATATATATATATATATATATATATATATATATATATATATATATATATATATATATATATATACCTTCCGAGAGGGATTTAGTTTACTATAGGCTTATATTTTTAAACGTCATATTTGCAAGCCTCTTAGGTGTAAGCACCCAGATTTGTACGGCAGGCAGCTCCTGTTTCCTTCATCAAGGTATCAGATACGAACACTTTTTAGTGCCATTAAGTATTTTGTTAAGTCAACTCGTGTGTGTATAATTTCACATATATAATTTTTCAAAGTACTGTACAGGTATTCCATGTAGTGCTTGATGTTTTCTGTGATAAGTGCAGTACAGTACAGTACAGTACAGTATTGTTATGGGTCATGTGGAACCAAGAGGACTGTGTAGAGACTATGTGTAGATTTTGGGGTTAAATAAATCTAAAAAGTTGTTATTATCTGAAGGAAAAACTCGTGTTCAAGGTGTATTTTGTTGTTGTTACTTGATAAAGCTATTGTAAATGGTGTACTGTACAAGTAATACAGTACTGTCATTTTGTTTGCATAACTCTTTTTTTTCCATGTATTCTTTCTTAGCTTTATTCTATTTTTAAGTACAATTTTGGGTACCTGAAGTCAACAGGTTATTTAACCCATATGTGTTTTATAGAAATTTATATTTAGACTATAGTAAATAAACACTGAGATACCTACATATGGTAATCTGACTATATAAGTAGTACTGCACTGTATTAGCATGATTAATTTGATCTCAGAATACTGTATGCATTTTCAGTCTTCATAAAAAGTTCTTATGGGGCAGAAAAATATTAGATATAACAAAAAGAGAAATGGAAATTGAAGATTTTTAAGAAGATATATCTCAAGGTCTTGGGATATGGTAAGTGAGTCTGTACAGTATAAGTGCATTACAGTACCCACCTCCTGTCTTATGGTTTAGTGGTTGAGGCCTTAGGCACCCCCAGTTGACCCAGCTGAGAATGATTACCTAATTTTAATTGGGGAAGCAAAGGCAGTCAAGTACAGTACACTGCCTTCCACTTTGTCTCTTTGTGTACTGAGGTTTAGTACAGTACTCAGTGTGTTGTCTGGTGTATGGGATGCTCTATTGCCACTGAAGCATCAACAGAAAATGTACCGACACATTTTTAACACAAAATTTAACTCTTTTGTTACAATGAAGAAATATGTTACAGAAAGTTATTTTTTGTAATTTTTTAATGTAGAGTGAGGAATATTGTAGATATTACATACATGTATTGTATTACACTTTAATGGAGTCACTAAAATGTTTTTAACTTTCCATTATATAGATTTTTTTTTTTACGTTGGACAAATATTCAATGTTACAATATTATATTGTATTGGATTATTATTATCAATAATAATATTTTTTACTAATTATGAAAGTCCTTATTTTGAACTTCCTGTACACATGTGTATATATTAAAAGGTAACTTTATTATAACTATAATATTGTCACTCATTGAACTGAAACTGTAATTATTGTCATATAAAATGGGGAAAATTATTGTCATATAAAATGGGGAATAGTGATGTTATTTAGTGGTCGTCCTTGGCAACGTAATAATGAAATACTTTAGTCAGGTTTTTGTATAACAATTTCATACAAAGCCAGAGTACAAAATATTACTTTCCAGTGACTTTTTGATCAAGGATCTATTAAATATTGCATCAACTATTGAGTTTTATTCAACATAGAACCTAAAGTACATTTTTTTGTCTACCTGTACAGTATTTTAAACAAGGCTGCAGGGAGAAAGAGACTTAACTTTTTGTTTTTAAAAGATTATGCTTCATTTACCATTTCTATTTTAAGCCAATCCTTTTTTCCAGTTATTGAAGAAGGAAAAATATAAAATCAGCCTTACAGTGTGTGTGTGTGTGTGTGTGTCAGTCACTAAATTCCACACATACTGTTTACTATTACTATCTGGTAAAAGAAGGGCAGGTTTCTGTTGTGTTCCCGCTGAAGAGCCCTCGCATACTCCTGCGTTCTTATTTTCTTTCAAGCCTCAAGCTTTAAATCTAAACAAGGAGACTAACTGCTCAAAAATATGTTATCCTCGGTCCTGTGTGAGGGAAGGACGTGTTGATGTTGGAGGTGCTTTAGAGAGACCCAGTCACCACATAAAATAAGATTACAGTTTGTAAGTAAATGTTAAGCCTCAATTTAACTCCAGAATGGATTATCTGCCAATAACCTATAAGCATCGAGTATGGGACATAGGTACTGTAATTATTTCTTTATCCTATTTACAAGGAAAATACCCTGTATGATAAAAGGACAATTTAGATATTAATTCTATACCTCATTGAGATTATATTTCAAAAGGCTACATAAGGAAGTACAGTGCAGTATACATACTATAATGTGATCTGACATACAAGGAGAATAACTTAATGACAGTACATTACTGTAATGAACAGCTGCTCCGGGGCACAAAACACACCAAACTGACTGGTAAATAATGGAGCTGTTTTATTAAATTATACTACTGGTACTATAATGCATTTAATGTGTCCATCCTCTTAGGTTTCAAATGAGCTTACACAAAATATTTGTGATTTACTTTCTGTATTACGTCATGTAAGGATTAACTTAGACAATTAGATTTATATATTATCAATTGCCCCTTGGATTAATAAACGTCACACAGGTATATCACACAGTTCATTATAACTTTTCATCACCATCATCACACACAACTAATACTTTAGGCATTACCTTTACTTCAACTCTTACCATGACAACTTTCATCAGTGATTTAGCCGGAATGTCTTAATGACGTTTGGACTCGTGATGATCAGTTGGCAACCATTTATGCAAGTGTGAGCTCAAAGATGGAATGTACTGTACTTTTGTCACTTGTGGGCTGGTTGTGGTGTTGGGGTACTGTGGGCTGGGTGTGGTGTTGGTGTACTGTGGGCTGGGTGTGAAGTTGGTGTACTGTGGGCTGGGTGTGGTTTTGAGGTACTGTGGGCTGGGTGTGGTGTTGGGGTACTGTGGGCTGGGTGTTGTGTTGGGGTACTGTGGGCTGGGTGTGGTGTTGGTGTGTGGGCACTGTGGGCTGGGTGTGGTGTTAGGGCACTGTGAGGTCAGTGTGGTGTTGGGGGTACTGTGGGCTGTGTGGTGTTGGGGTACTGTGGGCTGGGTGTGTGTTGGGTTACTGTGGGCTGGGTGGTATTGTGTACTGTGGGCTGGGTGGTGCGTTAGGGCTGGGTGTGGAGTTGGGGTACTGTGGGCTGGGTGTGGTGTTGGGGTACTGTGGGCTGTGGTGTTAGTACTGTGGCTGGTGTGGTATTGGTGTACTGTGGGCTGGGTGGTGGCTGGGGCATCAGGGCTGGGTGAAGTTAAATTGTGGCTGGGTGGTGTTGGGGTACTGTAGGCAGGGTGTTGGGGGTACTGTGGGCTGGGTGTGGTGTACGGGCTGTGGGCTGGGTGTGTGTTGAGGCATTGTGGGATGGGTGGTGTGCGGGTACTGTGGGCAGGGTGTGGTGTTGGGGTACTGTGGGCTGGGTGTGGTGTTGGGGTACTGTGGGCTGGGTGTGGTGTACGGGTACTGTGGGCTGGGTGTGGTGTTGCTACTGTGGGCTGGGTGTGGTGTTGATACTGTGGGCTGGGTGTGGTGTTACTGTGGGCTGGGTGTGTGTGTTGTGGGTGGGTGTGGTGTTGGGGCACTGTGGCTGGGTGTGGTGGGCTGTGGGCTGGGTGTGGTGTTGGAGTACTGTGGGCTGGTGTGGTGTGGGTGTTGTGGCACTATGTGGTTGGGTGTGTGTGTTGGGGTACTGTGGGCTGGGTGTGGTGTTGGTGTTGTATGGGTGTGGTGTTGGGGTGTTGGTGGGTGTGGTGTTGGGGTGCTGTAGGCTGGGTGTGGTGTTGGGGTTGTGGGCTGGGTGTGGTGTTGGTACTGTGGGCTGTGTGTGGTGTTGGGTGTGGGCTCCTATGCTGGGTGGGTGTACTGTGGGCTGGGTGTGGTGTTGGGGTGTGTGGCTGGGTGTGGTGTTGGGGGTGTGGTGTGTGGTGTTGCCTGGGCTGGGTGTGGTGTTGGGTACTGTGGGCTGGGTGTGTGGTTGGGGTACTGTGGGCTGGTGGGAGTGTGGTGTGCACTGTGGGCTGGGTGTGGTGTACTGTGGGCTGGGTGTGGTGTTGGGTACTGTGGGCTGGGTGTGGTGTTGGGGTGGTGTGGGCTGGGTGTGGTGTGGGGTACTGTGGGCTGGGTGTGGTGTTGGGGCACTACTGTAGGCTGGGTGTGTGGGGCTGGGTGTGGTGTTGGGGTGTGTAGGCTGGGTGTGGTGTTGTAACTGTGGGCTGGGTGTGGTGTTGGGGCACTGTGGATGGGTGTGGTATTGGGTACTGTGGGCTGGGTGTGGTGTTGGGGTGTAGTTAGTACTGTGGGCTGCAGGGTGTGGGTGGGGTGGTACTGTGGGCTGGGTGTGGTGTTGGGGTACTGTGGGCTGGGTGTGGTGTTGGGGTACTGTGGGCTGGGTGTGGTGTTTGGGCACTATTATTTATTTCATTATCCAGGAAATGAATATTAAAAAAATATAGTAATTTTTCATTTAGATTCATAGCAAATATTTGGGCCAAACTAAATAATGAACACGAATCCTTTACCATTCAAACCGGACAAACTCGCTCCTTTTCCTCTTTGACTCGTTGTGTTTAAGCTACGGTACAAAAGTGGCGGCTAAAATGACGTTTACAATTCACGGAAACTCATTGGATAAGAAAATCGAACTATCTTATGGCGAGGGGGGGGGGTGCATGGACTTTACCAATATGTACTGTATATGGGATTTTGGATACGCACATCACTGATCACCGTGAGCAAGACTGGTCACTAGTAAAGCGGAACTACAAAGAGTTATTGTATATCTTTTCAGTGCCGTAAAGCTGGTGTTAGTGCATGAAACTTTACTATTAAATCCGAAATAAAATAACCACTGACGAATCGAGAGAAAATATAAAGATTTTCACAATTTATGAAAACGACAGTACTCTACATTCATTTAAAAAACACATGAAGAATGCATCAGGAAAATGAATGAAAGCTGAATTCCAATGAATGACAGTAAATAAGTTAGAAAAACAAAAACTGGCACCTGGAGTGGACCGCCCAGATCTTGCCCACCGAGGTTCAGCTTCCCGAGAGACGAGAGAGTCGGAGAGAACTAAGAACGTGAGGAGTGAGAAGCTCAGTGTCAGTACACACGTGGCAGTGAGCGAGCGAGGAGCGTACCCTGTCTCGCGGGCATGATGGACTGACATAAGCTGTGAAAGACCGTAACTAACACACACCGCGTAAAAAAATATCCTGCGCTTATTATTATTACGGATATTTATTTTTGATATAGAAGTGATATTGGTACTGTAATAGCCGTGTCTCCAATGTGAACCTGGATTTTTATTTTAAGTTTATATGGGTAAGTATTTATTATAACTATTATTTTGTAAAAGTTCAATTCTACCTCTTGCCATTTAGGAAATTTTACAGTACAATGCTGATGACTCACTGCTTACAAACTGGACGTGCTTGTTCTTGTGAGAGCTTCGTGGTGCAGTGTTTTCCGTGTCTTAAAATGAAAATGTTATACACGGTATATATATATATACTAAAAACTGATGATATGTACCCCTGACAGTAACTAATGCTTATGGAGAAATATATATACACTGTATGTATACCGTATATATGTATGTACAGTATATGTATATATTATTAGAAGGTAAATAATTAATTGACAGAAATACAAGGTAATAAACTGAGAGGGAGTTACTGAGGAGAGAGAGTGAGAGAGAGAGAGAGAGAGAGAGAGAGAGAGCACTGGGACCTGACCATATCCCCTGTGTGTGTGTGTGCGTGTGTACGTCAACATTGCAGTAATTGCTACATTACTCGGCCATGACAAGTCACTGGAAAATCAGGTTCAGTAGAAAGTGTGCCTACCTTCCTTACCTCTGGAGATCATGGAGCCAGATCTTCAGAAAGTCGTGTTTTAATACTTCACTAAATAATTGTTACCTGATGATTAGCTCTCCCCCCCCCCAGATTATTTGACCTTATAACTAAACACCTTAACGCTACCGGGGGAAGAATAGGTTAGGGTAGGGTAGGTTAGGTTAGGGTAGGTCAGGGTAGGGTAGGGTAGGGTAGGGTAGGGTAGGTTAGGTTAGGTTAGGGTAGGGTGGTTTATCTTAAGGTGAAGTAAGCTGGGGGGGGTGGAACAAATCTGCAGATGATCCGGAAATAAAAATCTAACCGCTCGATACAGGTTACGACACAAAGGTTATAAAATCAACACGAGCTACTGATTACTGATGTGGTAACTTACTGAATAGACTGAATGCCGATATTAATATATATTCTCAAAGGTCAAGTTAAACTTTTCCCCCTAACTAGAGATTTAAAAAAAAATCCTTTATGGTTTCGTTTAGCTACGACACAAAGATGGGTTCTCACAGCCTCGTTATTTCCTCTCCTACTGGGGTGAGAGACACTGCTAATGAGCTTTCTATGGATACCTGCACTGTCTATGTACCATTTATCCACCTATCTATCTATCTATATATCCACCTTATCAATTTATATATCTGTCTATCCATATATCAATCTATTTCTCTATCCATTCTATTCTACTTTTATAACTGCGGTGTTGAGGACTAAAGGGAGAGTGAGCTCCTACACACTGGACCACCCTGCACGTATATACCTGAGGCAACACCTTCAGTAACCAGAAGCTTCGTGGCCGAGGAAAAAAAAAACCTACAGTATTATCATGGACTTGACCTTTGGGTTAAATTTGATTGGATATAATACTGTTATTTCCTTTAACCACATGAGGAAACAAAGGTAATTCAGGTGTGTAATTATTCACGACCCTACATGACCTGATATGACCCTACATGACCTGACATGCCCTTGAGGGATTAACATGGTGTTTTTTGCTTATTTTGTGATGGTCTAGGGTCCGGGGTGTGTCCTGACAGTGTGGCCAACTAGACTCAGGTGGTTCAGTACACCTTGGAATTTACGTGTTAACTCCAAGGCGACGGTAGAGTGTGTCTGGTATCACGTATCACACACTTTCAGACAGGACTAGTTGGCCTCTTCCTGTCGTCTAGGTATTAGTGAACTAGTTGGATTTTTACGACAAGCGGCTTAGTGATATGGTTGAGTGTCGGACAAAATCAATCCCCCCCCCGGACAAAACCTCCCCATTTAAAGCATAAATTAGGACAAAACCCCCAGTTTAATATATTAATGTTTCTCAAGGTACTGACTCACACAATAAACTGGTAGTGATTTAATTTTCCTACAGGTATTGACTCACACAATACCCCCCCCTTAACGCCTTCACTGCGGGGATGCCACTTTTGACACCACCAGACGATTTTATTCAGCACAGAGGTGACCCCGTACACAAGGGGGTCAGTAGACCATCTCCCTTAATAAGACCTTGCGGTGAAATAAACAAGGGTGTCTAATCTGCACAATAAATAAACAAAGGGTGTGTAATCTTGCGGTGAAATAAGCAAGGGTGTAAAAGCGGTGAAATAAACAAGGGTGTGTAATCTTGCGGTGAAATAAACAAAGGGTGTGTAATCTTGCGGTGAAATAAACAAGGGTGTGTAATCTTGCGGTGAAATAAACAAGGGTGTCTAATCTTGCGGTCAAATAAACAAGGGCGTCTAATCTTCACGTGATCTGTTTATGGTATCACCTTTGTAAATTCTTGGTGAAAATACAATCACAAACACACTGCACTAAGACCGGGTTGATGGACAAGGCTCTGACACCGTGGTTGGCCCGTGGAGGAATTACTGAGTTCGTGGAAGTTGTGTGTTAGTGAACGGCAGGACTGATCTGAGGGATTGCTCTCTCGTATTACTAACGCGGTTTCTACTTGTGCCTGTTGGTGTAGCTGTAGTGAGAGATGGTTTCTAAATGGCTTACGTTCAAGGAAGACGGTTTCTACATGACTCACGTTCTCAAATAAAAACGGTTTCTACATGGCTCACGTTCTCAAATGAAGATGATTTTTGAATGGCGTACGTTCTCAAATAAAGACGGTTTCTACTTATACCTGCTGATAAACATACTAACAGACAGTAATACTAACATGGCGTTCTCTAATTAAGGTGGTTTCTACTTAAACTTATCTACTAAAGCATTAATAGTGTATGAGCAGTAAGGCGGTTTCTACTTAAACTGTGTAGACGTACTTATGACATCTTGTACATGTTTTCACACTTAACTGAGTGGGTGGATGTGACACGTGACTCACATCCCCCTCCCCCCCACTCCCTTCTCTTCCTCCCTCTCTTCCCCCTCCCCCTCCCTCTCTCTCTCTCCCGCCTGAAGACATTCCTGCTGAATAATAAACCTCACGTCATCACCTGTGTTTGTCTCTCTCTCTCTCTCTCTCTCTCTCTAGTCTCTATTCTTCCAGTCTTTTTCTACCTATCCTCTCTCCTTAATTACCTCCTCTGTCTCCTTTTCTCCCTCTTTTCTCTTCCTATTCTTTATTCTCTCTTTAAAACAGTCGGTTCATACACAAGATTACAATAAAAAACCCAGAAATTATCGTAAGCGGATTTTACACCCACATAAGTACTAATGTTGATGCTCATTTGTTTTTGTGTTTTTGTCTTTTTAATAAATTCAGTGACATCTTCTCCCGGACGCTGGCTGGTGGTGAGGTGTGTGTGTGTGGAGGCGTCAAGGATGGTACTGTATTATGTTACCCAGGCAATTGTTTTAGCAGTGTTGGATCAGATGCCTTAAGGATCGTATACGTAAGTTTAAACTCTCTATAAGTGACAGGGAGTTTATATTGGTTATCTTAAAGAGCGAAACAAAAAATAAGACGAAATATTATTGTTTAAAATATATTCACCGAGGGATTGCATTACCAAACACCAATAATATTTGAAATGACGTAAAGACAATTCCTCAATGAACTTAAGTGAGGATGTATACACCTTTAGATCGCTTACTTTCCGATACAAAGACTAAAATTACACTTGAGGGTTGAAATCATAACTAAACGCGTAGCTGCTTTTAGTCACGGTTGAGAGAGAGAGAAGTCAATGTACCGATGTTTGATAATCAGGGCCCACACCCGGAAAATATTCTTGTGGAATGAATTGTACTCAAGGAAACTCATTAATTCAAGTCATGCAAAGGAGAGAAAGAGAGAGAGACAGAGAAACAGGCAGACAGATATAAGGAGAGAGAGAAAGACAAAAAGAGAACCAAGTCATTGTCCAAGATGTCCATTTATATAACAAAAACCTTCATGAGAGCAAGACGTGACCATGCAGGTGTGGTGTGGAGGAAACCTGGCGTGTGAGGTACTCCAGCTGGGCGGCAGGTAGGCAGGACACAGGGGTTGGTTGTCGTTACAGTACCCAGGTAATACGCCCTCCTAGGAATACCTATAGTAAGGTTTCCTGTGCTAGAATTTCCTCGTAACTGGAGCTGTGAGAATGTGTGTGTGTGTGTAGACTGCTTCACTTGAGTCGCGGTACGAAGCTGGATTCTTGATGGATCGTGTCTTAAGATTAATTACTATCTATTGAAACTAATCCACTTAATTTACAACACGTACATGGATCTCTACCCAAGATTATGTATTTTTTCTCTCCAAAGTTAGGAGGAAAAATTTTCGGGATATAAGTTGAAAATTTTAACCCTGGTGTTCGAACACTTGGGTGGGTGTGAGAGAGGAGGGGTCATGTAGAGTGGGGGGGTTAGGTATGCCTGTGGGGGGTGGGTCATGGGTAGAGGGGTTTAACCGGTGGGGGGAGGAGGAGGTTGGATCCAGTAAGAAATGGAGGGTGGTCATGAAGAAAGGTGGACATCCTCCCCCTCACCCTGCCTTACAGTCCTCCCCACCCGTCCAGCCTTACAAACACCCCCTTGCCTTACCCAACACACCCACCACCTCCCCACCCAGCCTCACAGACAGTAGTGTGGAGGCGACAAATAGACTTAGTATTGTGAAGGAGACGACGTAATTTATGCACGACTTAACAGACCAGGACACGAGACTCCATTCAGCCTCAACCACACACCATGAGCAAGCAACCACACACCATGAGCAAGCAACCACACACACACCATGAGCAAGCAACACACACCATGAGCAAGCAACCACACACACACCATGAGCAAGCAACCACACACCATGAGCAAGCAACCACACCACCATGAGCAAGCAACCACACACACCATGAGCAAGCAACCACACACCATGAGCAAGCAACCACACACACCATGAGCAAGCAACCACACACCATGAGCAAGCAACCACACACACCATGAGCAAGCAACCACACACACCAAGGAGCAAGCAACCACACACCATGAGCAAGACCACCACACACACCATGAGCAAGCAACCACACACACCATGAGCAAGAACACACACCATGAGCAAGCAACCACACACACACCATGAGCAAGCAACCACACACACCATGAGCAAGCAACCACACACCATGAGCAAGCAACACACACACACCATGAGCAAGCAACCACACACACCATGAGCAAGCAACCACACCATGAGCAAGCAACCACACACACACCATGAGCAAGCACCACACACCATGAGCAAGCAACCACACACCATGGAGCAAGCAACCACACACACACCATGAGCAAGCAACCACACACCATGAGCAAGCAACCACACACCCATGAGCAAGCAACCACACACACCATGAGCAAGCAACCACACACCATGAGCAAGCAACCACACACCATGAGCAAGCAACACACACGAGCAAGCAACCACACACCATGAGCAAGCAACCACACACACCATGAGCAAGCAACCACACACCATGAGCAAGCAACCACACACACACCATGAGTAAGCAACCACACACCATGAGCAAGCAACCACACACCATGAGCAAGCAACCACACACACACCATGAGCAAGCAACCACACACCATGAGAGCAACCACACACCATGAGCAAGCAACCACACACACACCATGAGCAAGCAACCACACACCATGAGCAAGCAACCACACACACCATGAGCAAGCAACCACACACACCATGAGCAAGCAACCACACACCATAGAGCAAGCAACCACACACACACCATGAGCAAGCAAACCACACACACCATGAGCAAGCAACCACACACCTGCGAGCAAGCAACCACACACCATAGCAAGCAAACAACACACCATGAGCAAGCAACACACCATGAGCAAGCAACACACACACACCATGAGCAAGCAACCACACACACCATGAGCAAGCAAACACACACCATGAGCAAGCAACCACACACACACAATGAGCAAGCAACCACACACACCATGAGCAAGCAACCACACACCATGAGCAAGCAACCACACACACACATGAGCAAGCAACACACACACCATGAGGCAACCACACACCATGAGCAAGCAACACACACCCAGAGCAAGCAACCACACACCATGAGCAAGCAACCACACACCATGAGCAAGCAACCACACACCATGAGCAAGCAACCACACACCATGAAAGGCAACCACACACACCATGAGCAAGCAAACACACACATGAGCAAGCAACCACACACACACCATGAGCAAGCAACCACACACACCATGAGCAAGCAACCACACACATGAGCAGCAACCACACACACAACGGAGCAAGCAACCACACACCATGAGCAAGCAACCACACACCATGAGCAAGCAACCACACACCATGAGCAAGCAACCACACACCATGAGCAAGCAACCACACACACCATGAGCAAGCAACCACACACACCATGAGCAAGCAACCACACACCATGAGCAAGCAACCACACACACCATGAGCAAGCAACCACACACACCATGAGCAAGCAACCACACACCATCACCCAGTAACACACCACCACCACCACTCACAACCACATAGCATTAGTCCTTACGTCTGAAGAATAAAGGATAATTAGACACAAAAAATGGATTCATGTCTACCTCAAGAGTCGATTAATTCACTTCTTTTCATGTCACTTTGTTAGATCAGTCGCTGTTGTATTTCCCAGTGGAGGCGAGGCTTACAATTTTTTTTGAAGGGGGGGGGATACACCTGTACTGTCTATGTTTATTGTTTGTATACCTGTACTGTGTAGGTTAATTGCTTCTATACCTGTTCTGTCTAAATACACAATTTTTATACCGTCATTGTACATAGACAATGCAAGTATACAAATAATGTGCAACCATATACAATAAAGATAGCCGTCAAAATGGCCGATACAATAAAGATAGCCGTCAAAATGGCCGATACAATAAAGAAGTCTAACAAAATGGGCGACACTATAAAGAAGTCTAACAAAATGGCATCCAAATCACTTAACTAAGCTCTACCATAACCGGACATGGGGAAGCGGCTCCTCCTAGGGGTCAGGGCAGAGGTGAAGGTGTTATCTCTCCCTTATCTGACTCTCTGCTTTTCAGGTGAGATAAAGGAGAGAACTGTATGGTCACTAGTTGAGTCAAGGTCGAGTGAGTGTGTGTGTGTGTGCTTATGTGTGTGTTTGTATGTGTGTGTGTGTGTGTGTTTATGTGTGTGTGTGTTTATGTGTGTGTTTGTGTGTTTGTGTGTGTGTGTTTGTATGTGTGTATGTGAGTGCGAGTGTGTGTGTGTGTGTGTGTGTGTTTGTGTGTGTGTGTTTGTATGTGTGTGTGTGTGTATTTGTGTGTTTGTGTGTGTGTGTGTGTGTGTGTGTTTGTATGTGTGTGTGTGTGTGTGTTTATGTGTGTGTGTGTGTGTGTGTGTGTGTGTGTGTGTGTGTGTGTGTGTGTGTGTGTGTGTGTGTGTGTTTAAGTCTCTGATGTGTTACCGAAAGCTTTACTAAATATTTTTTTTACTCACAATGGGCATTAGTAATGTTATTGTACTGTATATATAAAGTGGAGTCATTTCTGTCTGTCTCTGTTTCTTTCTTTTTATCTGTAATCTATCTCTCACCTGCCCCTAATCTCTCTCTCTCTCTCTCTCATTCACCACATGGACACTTCCGACAGTTTTACAGCCTCCCACCACCACCAACCCCTGTGTCTCGTGTCTCTGGGGTTGAAGACGAGACCTCCACTACCTGGTCTTGTGGACTGGGTGGTGGGTGGAGCTGCCCCCCTCCCCCAACCTCGTGTCTGAGAGAGAGAGAGAGCGAGATAGAGAGAGAGACGTAATTACGGAGCTGGTAGGTACTCTCAGACCCCCCTACAGGTAAATACGGCCCCGTTTCTAGTGTAGACACCCGTCAAGTCATCTCTCTCTCTCTCTCTCTCTGTTCCGCCCAAAAAGGTATCCTAGTGAAGGATGGAAGGCAGGATGGTGAAGGAGGGAATGTAACGTTATTTTTCACCAATCCTTTTCAATCGAACTTCTATATTTACCGCAACTGAGAGAGAGAGAGAGAGAGAGAGAGAGAGAGAGAGAGAGAGAGAGAGAGAGAGAGAGAGAGAGAGAGAGAGGCTGCTACTACTGATTATGATAAACTCTCTATTAGTCACATTTTTATTACGATAATATAGCTACAGAATGTTACACCCCACATACGGTATATCTAAGGTTTTATTTTCTCCCTCTCCCCCACAGGTGTGCTGCAGGTATGGAGCGCGGGCGGTCAACAGGTGTGGGCGGCGGGGGAGGGGCGCGTGGGCTGGTAGCGGGTGTACGGAAGGTCTTCAGGTCCAAGTCTTGCTCTGAAAAGCATTCCCGTTCCCGCACCGTCAGGGAGGATGAGGCGCCCGACCAAGCCCCAGGCAGCCGCGCCACCCACCCACCCACACGTAACAGTAGCAGCAGCAGCAGTAACAACACCACCACCAAACATCGCAGGTGTCCCAGGTCGCCCTTCCTAGGCTGGAGGAGGTCTAAGTCTCATAAAGACATCTCAGAGAGTCAAAAGAAGGCGAAGGGGAGAGACGCCCTGGAGAACGAGAGAGCAGGGTGGTGTTCACAGTCCCAGGCGGAGAGACTCAGTTTACACAGTTCGGAGACCTATGGTCACATCACCCTGGCAGCCCAGCAGGACGTGGGGACGGGGCGGTGTGGGGACAGTGAGCGTTCGCGAGCACAGTCGGATAATAAGAATGGGACAACTACGAACGAGGATGAATCTGGTAGTGACTGTGGTGAATACACAGAACCGCGGCTGTGTAACGGAACAACGGTGTGTAGTGACGGTAACGGTGCTGTAGGCGATGGCGGTGAGCCTTGTGCCAAAACTAGTGATGGTGTGAAGGACCATGCAAATAACAGTGTCATAAATAGCTTCGTTTGTAATTCCGACAACGTGGTGGTAGGCAGTGAGAGCAGCTGTGTGTCGTTGCCAGAGAGTGGGTCAGGGGGACAACCTCGGGGCGTGGTGAGGGACAGAGGGGACGGCAGTGACTCCCTGGAGGTCTGTGGTGAGGAAGAAACACTGGAAAAAGAAACTTGCGTCAGGTACTTAAAAGACATTTACAGGAACAGTAAAGAAACTTCCGACTGTCCAACGAGCTTCAGCGGAGGACCAGCGATGCTGGGTCGAGGACTGTGGCTGAAGGCTGCCCTGAGTTATAACTTACAGATGCCTGACTCTCCAAGAAACGAAGTTGTGGTGTTGGCTCTGGGCATTGATCAGTATATTGAGGAGGTGTTCCGGCACCTGGATCCTTCAGGGACGAGCAGAGTGAATGCTGAGGACCTTGAGGCTCTGTGTCAGGTCCTGAGACTGACGGAGGCCATGAAGGAGGAAGAGGAGGAGGAAGTAGAGAGATGTCGATGTTTAGGATCAAACCTGACACTTCATGGATCTCTGGACGGCTCGCTGGCAGATATAAACCAGTACAGTAAGTGCCCTTTACACCTTACATTTAGTGACTTCAACGACAAATTATGTGCGAGGTTCATCCGGGCCGCCAAGGCTGAGAGCGTCCTCCCACTGGGCCTCCGGCGGCCTAATAATCAACGCCTGGTGACGTCAGTGGTCAACGTCCAGCGTCGCTACGATGTGTTGGAAAACATCTCACGGAGCCTGGCGGAGGTCAACGCCAAGCTCAACGATAAGGAAGGGACACGGCTGTTGGACGACTGTACAACGACGGGAGTCGTCTGCTGCAAGTGTCAACAGGTGACACACGTCGACCGTAACTCCAACATCTCACCTCAGCCCCTGGACGTTGAGGTATCTTATCTCCAACGGCAGGTTCTCCTGCAGGAACAGGAGCTGCAATGCTTGCGGGAGGTTATTGAGGACATGCGTATCGCCCTCCAGAGCTCTGACGCCGAGAACTTGGCGCTACACGTAAGGATCGAGAGAGGAGACGTAACACCTAACCCGAGAGCCTCTCAACATGACCTGTCGCTCACTGATGAAGAGGACACCATCGACAACCTGGTGCGACAGCTGACAGAACTAGACCGTCCTGCCGCCCTGAGCACCTCCACAGACCCGGACGCTACTCCTACACCGTCCCGCCCACCCTCACCCTCACCCGCACCCCCACCCTCCCAGCGGCCCTCCTCCACGACACACCATCCCGAGAATCCAAATTCTACAGAAGATCCACTCAACACGGCGTTCATATCAGGGGACTGCTCCATGGAGGCCGAGCTACAAGCTACCTACGAGGCCCTACAGGAGGCACGGGAGCAGCAGGAGGCGATGCAGGCAGACCTCCAGCAAACAGTAAGTCAGCTACAGGAGAGGGAGGCTGACTTACGAGGGGCGGAGCTCAATCTCCGGGCTGCTCACTCCGCCCTAGAGAAAGCCCACTACGATAACCACGCCCTCGTCATGGAGATCGCGGAGACCCGTCGCACCCTGGAGAAGAGCCAGGAGAAGGTGCAGGAGGCGTGGGAAGACCTGCGGCAGGCTAGGGACACCGCCCTGCTGAAGGAGACGCAGCTACAGGAAGCAGAAGCCAAAATACAGCGCCTCAGACACTCCAGGTAAGATACTATTCTGTTTATTGTCTCTCCACACCTGAAAACCTACAGGTAAATCGCTGTCTTCTCACACCTGGGAATCCACAGCTACACTGTTACTTGCTATGTGTTTATCTTCCACACCTGAGCCACTGTAGGTAAGTTGGTGTTAATTTAACGAGTATATCCCTACTGGACACATCTCTTACGGTCTGTATATACAAACCTGCTCACCTGCCCCTCCCCCACGCCCCCCCTCAAGATCACCGCACCTGCTGCTGGACCTCAGGTGTGAGCTGCTGCTAATTGCAACCCGTTATCAGGTATGAGAACAGGACTCGATAATCCTAACTTAGCAGAACATGACATAATGTATACCTAACTTAACATTAACCATCCCAAGTTAAACCTAATCTAACTAAACCTAACCCTAACCTAATCTATCCAAAGCTAACCTAAGCTAATACGAGCTTCTACCCTAAATGTGAACCAAAATTAACCTAATTCATTTAGTGTGTGTGTGTGTGTGGAATGGGGATTGACAAGCGACAGTTGATTAAAGATTCTGTTGGTGGTAGTTGTGGAGGACTGCCTCCCCCCCGAGTGTGGAGAGAGAGAGAGAGAGAGAGAGAGAGAGAGAGAGAGAGAGAGAGAGAGAGAGAGAGATAGAGAGTGTAGCTACCTGGGTTAACCTCACCTGACCTCCCCTTAAGAAACTCATCAAAGAGGCAAGGAGGTCATTGGGGGTCAGGAATGTTGACCTTGCCCGCTTGGGTCTTCAGGGTAGTGGGAGCACTGGAGGTAGGGTGCCCAATAAACTAGCCCCTAATCGTGGTTTGGGGCAAATCTTGAACAAAATTAACCAAGTAGGTAGGGTTAATTGGATCCCAGTTCTAATTGGGCCCCATTAAGGTGAGGGCCCATTAGGTAGGGGTCTATTAGAGCTTGGACACGCTTGGACTGGTTCTTAGTCCTTATGGTTAGACTAAATTGGGGTTTTGACCTTTTAATGGTGATGGTTTAATTCTTTAATGACGAACGACTGTGCCAATTTAGGGCAATGGTTTAACACTTTAAGGTCGATAGTTGAGAGTTAACCATCGACACACACACACACACACACATACCTATACGCTATTCAGAACTCAGAGAATAAATATTAACACAGGTGAATTGTCATTTCTTAATAATAGGCAAGTAAAACTCTCTCTCTCTTTCATCACCATAGGTCATTAACGTTGACCTCTCCTCCCCCAAGGTAAATCAAAGGTCAAGTCTGGGTGTGACAAATCTGGTCGAAGGTGTGATAGAGGCATCATGGCGGCCAAATTCACCTATGACTCTACTTCTATCTTTTTAATTAAGAGATTTAAGCCTTGGGAATGAAAGAACTAAGTGTAGATTGTCGTTGTTGTTGTTGTTGTTGTTTGTGTTGTTGTTGTTGTTAGTGTTGTTGTTGTTGTTGTTGTTGTTATCACTCAAATTCATTGTTGTTTTGACCCCTATCCTGTTGAGATGACTTTTGAGGCTAATTAAGAAAATTACCTGAATCTTACAAGGAGGTTCATTTTCCCTCCCAATCTCTCTCCTGTGACCCGACCAGACTCCTTGACCTCTTCCCTGAGGTCAAGTGGAGGTAGTGTGAGGTCCTTAGTAATTGGAGGGGGGGAGGGGTAGGGGGAGGGATAAATTGCACCATAAATAAATAAAGAAAAAAATATCTTCCTAGGTGGTAGTACCTCCCTGTTTGTTAGATGCCTACTACCTGATGTGTGTGTGTGTGTGTGTGTGTGTGTGTGTGTGTGTGTGTGTGTGTGTGTGTGTGTGTGTGTGTGTGTGTGTGTGTGTGTGTGTATGTGTGTGTGTGTGTGTGTGTTATACGTCTGGATAGGTTGATGGCTATATGAGCGATAGGGGTTGGGTGTAAATGGGACTGCCCAGTACGCTGCAGTTTCCTCCATTCTTATGTTCTTGTGGGTGATTGCCTCGAGATCGAACCAGTGACCATTAGGACTAGAAACAATGAGAGAGAGAGAGAGATAAAGATGAGTGACAAGGTGATTGATGAAGTGAAGCAGTGGTGATTGATGGAGTTGAGGGGGTGGTGATTAATGGAGTTGAGGGGTGGTGATTGATGGAGTTGAGGGGTGGTGATTGATGAGGTTGAAGGGAGTGGTGATTGATGGCAGATTAAACTCAGGTAAAAGTAAGTGTTGTCAGCGTCAAGTGTCAGCCCCGGGAGGATACGATACTAGCTGACACTCACCTGTTGTGTACACTGATGAATCCTGACTCTTGTACACAGACTCACAAAGTATCGTTACGAGAGATTATTTTACCTCAACAACTAATACTTTTAAAAAATCAATAAAAAAAATCAAATAGTAAATAACATATTCGTTATTACTTATAAATCACCAAACTAAAAAAAATGGGTTAACGAAATAATGTTTATGATAACTGACGCATACAGGTAAGCACAGGTGATGGCGGCTCAATATTCATACCTGTACAAATTAGAGATTCTAAATACCGAGTTAACATTCCTCAGGCCTCCTTCTCTCCCCCCCCTCCTCCTCCACCCTCTGGTATGAAGCTGCGATACGCCTCAGTGCTCTCACACGCCCGCCCGCCCGCCCGCCCAGTCCACTGTAACTGACCACTGTACCGGTCATGCCAGCGGGGGGGCCCACCACTGTGCCGGTACATGAATGCGGTGTCACTAGTTTAACGGTTCAGATGGATACTGGAAGGGGGTTAGATTAGGTTAGCGTTAGGTTTGGTTAAGTTAGGTTAAATTAGCGTTAGGTTAGTTTAGTGTTAAGTTTGTGTTACATAAGGTTAAGGGAGTGTTAGAGTAGATTAAGTTACATTAGGTTTGTGTTAGATCAGAATAACTTAGAACATAAGAACATAAGGAGTCTGCAATAGGCCGGTTGGCCTGTGCATGGCAGCTCCTGTCGAGAGTTACTACCACTCTCTATCATCCATGAATCTATCTAGCCTCCTTTTAAAACTTTCCAGCGTTCCAGCACTTACTACAAAGTTGCTAAACTTGTTCCACTCGTCCACCACCCTATTTGTGAACCAGTTCCTTCCTATCTCCCTCCTAAACCTAAACTTATCCAACTTAAATCCATTACTACGAGTCCTATCCTGCTCGGATATTATAAGAACTTTATCTATATCTCCTACGTTAGGTTAGATCAGATTAACCTAGGCTAGGTTAATCTAGGTTAATGTTAGATCAGGTTAGATTAAGTTTTCGTTAGATTAGATTAGTTAGTGTTAGCTTAGGTTAGATTAAATTGATGTTAGATTAGGTTAACATCAACGTGGCAAATCTTAGTGTATAAAGTCAATCAATCAACACAGTGGAAGGCTTCATTTTCAGGTGATCCCAAACTAAGACACCGGAAGCCAGTGACCTAAACCCTAGCAGGAGGCCGGGTGAGGGCGTGACACTACCCTTCTCTCTCTCATCCCCTCCCCCTCTCCCTCACCCCCTCCCTCTGTCCCTCACCCCCTCCCCCTCTCCCTCATCCCCTCCCTCTCTCTCTCACCCCCTTCTCTCCCTCACCCCCTCTCTCCTCATCCTCCTCTCCTCACCCCCTCTCTCTCCTCACCTCCCCTCCCTCACTGTTAGTTAACGGAGGAGTGGTTCATCTGGTTGGGATGTTTTTTTTTATTTATACCTTAAGAGGACCAGTTGTATCACCTCAAACAGTCAGGCAGCCACTCAGCCAGTCTACTCACCTCGGTCAGTCACTCAACCACCTAATCATTCAGTCACTCAACTCAGCCACTCTTCTCAGCCAGTCAATTATTCAGTTAGTTAGTTAGTTAGTTAGACAATCAGTCATTCAATCAGCCAGTCAATTACTCACCCAGTCAGCCAGTTCGTCAGTCAGTCAGCCAGTCAGTCAGTCATTATATGAGGTGGTGATGATATGGGTATGAACGTCACCAGTGTATCTATCTCATGACACACACACACACACACACACACACACACACACACACACACACACCATGCAATTTCGACCATAAATTTACTTAAAATAAAAATAAAACCAAACAAGAACGTCCACAACAAACAAACAATGAGAGAAAACAAACAAACAATAACAAACAACAACAGTAGGGTGTCGTGTCCCCACAACAACACATCCCCGGATATGCTTCAGTTAGTCAGGGTGATTAATATTTACCTAAGTGACACCTAGGTCTACTTAACCCAAACCTGAGACGGCCTGTAAAGTGGGCCCCAAAATTCTAATGGGCCCCTCAGTGCTAACGTGAGATTGGAGTCTACGTCCCAATTAGGTTACGGATTAGTCGGACTGGGTCAATGTGGATTGGGGCCCATTTAGACAGGGCCCATTGGGAGAGGGGTATATTAGGACAGGAGTCTATTGGGATTAGGCTCAACTAATTCAGGGATCCATAAGGACAAAAGAATAGAGGCCTGTTAGGACGTAATGGGCCTAATTGACGAAGGGTAGGTGGTGGTAAGATGTCACGAGGTCAAATGGTGTCACGTCTCTCCTTCCTCCTCCCTTCCTTTCCTGTTTATCCGGAAGGTAGGGACTGTCAGCAGGTAAGGAAGGAGGGAAGGATCCTTTAACTAATCCTTATGGCTGCATCACTATCTACTTGAAATACGATATCATGCCGGGATGGAAGATGAATTTCAGCGCATGTTTTGGGCTAATTTTTAAAAACTAGCAGATTTGTAGGCCAGATTTTTTGCTAGTTGGCGTCTGCTAGCTGGTATTAGGCAAGTTAATCTATTTGCAGTAACTAAATATTCACTAGTATTCATTTCCCGCCAAAAAGTGATATTATGACGAGGAATAACAGCTGATGTTTGGATAGCAGTAAAGGTAAACAAACGGGGTCTCATTTTAGCGCGGGAAGAGGCGTGATCACTTCCCAGGAGGATGACACTGACGGCCTTACAGATATAAGCAACAGTGAAATGAGGCCATATATGCCGCCGTCCTCCGATAAAGTGCCACTTTTGGGAGGTCGAGTGAGGCGTTTCTTGGGTCAAACTAATTTATCTTATGGTCTGAGTTCCCGAGAAAACCACTCAGAATACGTCATCGGCCCTGACACTAATCCTGGCACTGCTCGACTTAAGGTGCCACTGGTCGACTAAGGTGCCACTGGTCGAACATAGAAACGAAGCTCCCGGTCCATTCACAAAATTCTCACTCCTACGTTCTTACGATTCTTCAGTTTGTTTGTAAACAGACCGTGGCCTGAGCACCTGTGGCTGTACACACACACACACACACACACACACACACTGAGTAGGGTTATTATTATTATTATTATTTAAATTATTATTATCATCAGTATTATTATTCCTACCCTCCTTATTATCGACACACTTGCCACACATAATCCCCGGAGGATTTACGGGTGGGGGGCTCTCTCACCCACGGCTGTCACCCTCACTACTGGAGCCATTCATTCATAAATCTCAGACGCCAGCTGGACCTGTAGTGCACCC